TAATCGCGTTGCGTCAGGATCAAAAAGTTCAACAATGTTTTTGAGCTTCTTAGCTTTATTTATATAATAAATATTATATTTCTATATATTCTTTAATTCTTGTATAATATATATATATGTCGCAGCCGCTCGTGATTTTCAGCCGCTAGTGATTGAATCACTGATGGTGATTGAATCACTAGCGGCTAGCCGATGGTGATTCAATCACTAGCGGCTGAAAATCACGAGCGGCTGCGACATATATATATATATATATTTTAATATAGCACTTGGCTATTAAAAGTATCATTTGGATAAACTTATGGCATTTCGATCTGCAAATTAAAGAGTGCAGGCTGCAATTTTTAGAAAAACCTATTTTTCTAAAAAAATTTAGAAGAAATGTGATGTATTATATACTATTTGAAAGCTCTAATTCTCAGCTATTTTAGCTGAAAAAGAGTTTTTTGATTGGAAAAACTTTTGGATCCTTAAAGCGACTTGGGAGGGGCGCACAGCAAACACTCCATTTTTCTTGTTTTACTAGGCAAAAAGAGTGGCAAAAGAGTTCAAAAGTCGTTGTTTTTAGTTGAATAAATTTGTAACGGGTCTATTAGTTCAGAAAAAAGCAAACTTGACAGAATAGAGCTCAAAAAAGCTCAAAGCTTTTAGCTCAAAAAAGCAGCGCGATTTTGGGGGAAAGGGAGAAAAAAAACGCGTATGTTGGGGTTTGAAAATTGGTGATCGAAACATTATAAACCTTTGTGGGAAGCTATTGAAATAAATTTGTCTTGATAAACTGCACAAATTTGCCATTGAGGACGGATTTTTCAGAGAGGATTCTTATCTAGAAGACCAAGAAAAATGGTAGCGCACCGAGTCGTTTTAAGGATCCGAAAGTTTTTTCAATCAAAAAACTCTTTGTCAGCTAATATAGCTAATACAGCTAATACAACTAATATTAGAGCTTTCAAATAGTCAATAATATAAAGTATTTCTTAAATAGGCTTTAGAAAAATAGGTTTTTCTAAAAATTTTCATTAATTTTTTCAAATTCTGTAAATTTTCTTTTTCTAAACATTATATATGTCGTAGCCGATTATGAATGAAATTTTTTGGTAAATCTTTCTAATAGAGCAACCCTTTAATGTATGAGGACAATATTATATCATCCTGTAGAATTCTGCGTCGATTAGTACCAAATTTGTGAGTTTAGGTTAAAAATTGCCGGCGCTACAACGCACATCCGCGCGAAAATGTGTTTTCTCTAGGGTTTTTACGTTTGAACAGCCGATTGACGCAGAAAAATGTGCTGAATCCGAAAATAAAAGAATTTTTGAAATCCCTTCGACAAATTTTTGTCAAACGTTGCAACGTTTCATTCAAAATCGGCGGGACCCCCGTAGCCGATTATGAATTTCAGCCGATTATGAATGAGTGGGTCTAGGAGCGTCCAACCATCAATTATTTGGTATCATTCAACGCAGAATCATTAATAATTATGTTAAATTTTTAAAATTAGAAAGATTTGATAAAAAGAAAAAAAATTAGAGCAAAAAAACTGTTTGTTCAAGAGGAAACTTTGAGGCCCCATAATTTTTTTTTCTTTTTATCCAATCTTTCTAATTTTAAAAATTTAACATAATTATTAATGATTCTGCGTTGAATGATACCAAATACTTGATGGTTGGACGCTCCTAGACCCGCTCATTCATAATCGGCTACGACATATAATACAAATTAAAGCATAAATTTGAAGCTAATAAAGCTAAATCATAAGCTGAAGAGTCAATTAATCAATCAAAAGTAGCCTTGATAAAGTTATAGCTTTAAATATAGAGTAAGATTATAGATATTGCTCATTATGTGCTCATTTTTGTTGATACTACTTCAAAGTACTGTCAACAAACCCACCGTAATCGTTCGGAATGCAAATTTCGATGGCGATACGGGCTCAAACAGATGAAACAAGTTGATGGTTTTGGTGCCGAGAACATTACTAAAGTTTTGAATTTTTATTAAAAGTACGAAATCTCTCCAAAAACCCGGCCAAAGTGGGAAAAAGACTAGAAAAATCAAAATTTCTTTTTTTTAACTCAAATTTTTCATTCGTTTACACCTTTTTCTTCAATTTTCCTTCCTTCAAATCATTAAAAACTTTACCTTTTTCAATTTCTCATCAAAAAAAAACGACAAAGAACAGGTGGAATTTTGTCCAGTGATTTCCCTTGATCCTCTTGATTTCCCGTTTTTTTTCCTGTTAACCAGTCGTGATTTCATTTGCCATTTTTCTTCTCGGGAAAGTCTGAAAGCTTTTAAACTTTATTGAGATCATGAAAAGAAAACAGAAACAGACACAAACAGAAAACAGAAAACAACCTTATTTAGCTGGGAAAATGAACAGTGGTCGTGTTTTGTTTAAGTGGGGAAAATTTTGGAAAAAGAATGATACAAAAATTGGGTTGATCAAATGGAAATTACAATCGTTTGAAATTGGGGTGCCTTTTAGAAAACGGACTCATTGAGAGGAGCACTTTTAAATCATAATAATATAGAATAAATTTACCAGCAAGCAAATTGAAGCTGATCTCTTTCGATGGAAAATGGAGTGCCGACTTAAACTAGCCAAAGAAGAAACGTTTAAAAAATAAAATCTCGAAGGGTGTTGTTTAAGCAAATAGAATTACATATGCGAGCAATTTAGATTTAGATAAATCCACGATAAACATTTTTCTAGTATAAATTTCTTTAGAAAACGCCAACTAACTAGCTTTCACTTGGCTCAATCCTGTTTAAGATGAAACTTTAAATTTGAATTTTCCTCATTCTCAAAATCATCTCAAAATCATCAAAAAAATGTAATTTTCACCAAATTATCAGTAAAATAGTTAGCGAATACGCGACTGTACGCCCAAACTGTACGCCGACTGTACGTGACTGTACGCTGTACCGTCCTTGCGAATTTGACATTGACAATGCGAAAAATTGACATTTCACGGCTGACTATTGTAACTTAAAAAGATCCCGCCTGAGTTGAAACACTGAAAAATTAAAACCAACGGTTTTTTTGTTAAAGAAAGGGCAGGGAATCGAGCGAAAGCTAGCTAGAAATTGCTAACGATGTAAAACGCCATAAATCAACACGAAATCAACACGTACCAGGGTGGACCTTTGACTAGCTATGCACTACATAATAATGCAATTTTCTATTTGTATCAAAAACTATTTTATTAAAAGGCTAATGATTTCATTGTTAAAAATTGAAACTTGAGTTGAAAGAAGGCCTTGATTTGAAACATTGAAATTAGAAATTCGAATCAAAACTAGACTAGACAAAGCAAGAACTACTGAAAAGTGAAAAAAAATGTTCTGATCGCAATTCTTAAAAGTATAGTAAGTAGCTTGAAACACAATAAATCAAACCCACAACAAGCTCAAAAGAAATGTTCCAATAAAAACCTCAAGAGATAGAGAGATAGAAATCGTTAGAAACTCAAACTTCAATAAATTTGCGTTAAGTTGAAACATTGAAATTGAAATTTAATATTAAATCAATATTAAATCAATTTTAAGGCTAATGTTTCATTAACATAAATATTAAAACTTCAATTTTCTTTTTCTTAATAAATATTAAATGAATTCTAAAGGAGTCAGGCAAAACTACAAGCATTGCTTACAGCAGAAAGGCTAAAGAACACTAAAATCGATGAGTTTCAAAAACTTTCGCCCATCAACAACACCATTCGGCAAAAAATTAATCGAAAAAGACAAAAGAGCTGAAAATTTGCCGCCTTTAATTTTCCTCTGTTTCACCTTTTTTTCCTGAAAAGAAAAGTGACGGTTGCCAAGGTATTTTCGCGGCTTTTTCTTCACTCTTTTCACCTATTTTCATCATATTTTCCCCAAATCAAAATCCCTCTTTTTCGAAAGATTTTTTGAACAGAAAATGAGACTTTTCTAATCAACCTAATGCATTGGACCAGGGAAACGCGTAAATTTTTTGCTATGTTTAGGAAAATTTACGATTTTTGATGAGAATTTTACTGAATTACATCATTTCTTTGAGTGAAATCAAAAGAAATTTTTTTGAATTCAATTAAATAACTTAAAGAATCGTTTAAATTGAAAGAAGAAGTTCTTTTTTTTGAATGTTTTAGAACCGCTTAGAAAGTTAATCAAAATCAAAGTCCAAAAAAAAGAGTTAATTAGGGAAAATTGGGTTTATTTTAGTGAGAAACACAGGAATAAATTAAATATTTTCAACTGTCAGTGAAGCAGTTTAAATTGAAACACAAAAATTCCTTTTACTAAAGATTTTTTGAGTTTTCAACACATGTAAACATTGTAAACAGGTATTTAAACCGATTAAACTAAAGCAATACTTTTTTTTACCATAAATTCTTGAAAGAAAGAAAGTTTTTCCCTGAGAATTTTTGTTTAGAAAGAAAGAAAAGAATTCTAAAAGAATTCAAAGCTCACTAACAAAAATAGCTTCATTTTCTGAAGAAAACAGTCATAACGACTAAGTAAAGAAAAGAAAATGATAGAGTAAGTGATAGAATATTTGAGTAAGAAACTCTATCATAAAATGATAGCTTTTGAGTAAGAAATCTATAAGTTATCATTCAAAAAGATTAAATTTATTAATGATGATCTTAATGGTCTTAATTAAATGTCTTGAACGGCCTGTGCAATGCTTTAAGTTAACTAAGTTTTAAGAAACAAAGAAACTTTCTTCTAACAAATTTTTGGGTCAATTTTTCATTCCATCAAATGACTCTAGCAACCATTTAAGCAATTCGAATTGAAACAATAAAATTTGCTAAAGATTTTTTGAGTTTTCAAATTTCTGTCGAAGTCGAAAGGTTGAAAAATTGAAAAAAAATCGTTTCTTTTAAAGCACCACTGTAAAAACAATAAAATTGTAATAAAAGAATTGATGAAAGAATGTATGGAAGAAAAGAAATGAGAGAAATTTTGAAGAAACACAGCTTTTTCATTATAAATTTTCAAATTTTCAGCCTTGGACGCGTCTCGTGGGAGGTGGCCACCGAAAGGACAACGTCAGACGGACAAGCACTTGAGGTTAGAGCAAAGCTTTATTAAGACCTTGAAAATGAAATTTTATATAAATTAACTTGAAACTTAAACTTTTTAGCAACTCTAAACCTTTAAGAGCACAAGTTTCAAGTTTTGAATGCTTACTTTTTTGTAGAGCAAAAGCTAATAATTACGTCAAAAGGCACAACATTAAAAAAAGTTTATAGTTTAAAGAGAATATGTACTTTCTGCTTAAAAATCTCGTAAACCCACCCTTCCTGGTGCACTGAATTCTTCCATTTCCCTCATACAGCAACGATTTCGTGTGAAAATGGAAGAACTGCGCCAGAAAGAGCGTTTTTATCAGGTTTTTGTGAGCACAAAGTACACTAATTGAGCAAGTTTATATCAATTTGAATCAATTAATGTCATTTTTCCAGGTCGAGCAATGCCAATGCCCACCCGGCTACTCTGGCACCTCGTGCGAGGACTGTGCACCAGGCTACGAGCGATCGGGCACTGGCAGCTACCTGGGCACCTGTGTCCCTATTCAGAGGTTTCTTTTCAAAAGAGAATATAGTAATTAAACATCAGAAATACTAATGAAACTTGTGCAATTGTTAGCTGAATAGCTTTAGTCCAAATAAGCTTATTTCAAATTAAACCCAGTTTGAGGAAATTCTTAATTTAATACTGTTCTCCTTTCAAAGAGATTTTGATTTGAAAGTAGTGAAAAAAATAATGATTTAATAACTTTGAGAGTGTTTTTTTCAAGGTTTTATTCAAGTTTTAAGAATTTAATGGATAAAAATATTGTATTTACATTCAATCAAAAACCTAGTTTCAACTTTGATTAGTTAATTTTGTGAGCTCGCATTTTAATCAACTCAAATTTCAAATCTCATGTTCGATTTGTTTCAAATTGATTTGAATTCCTTGTCGCTTTGAGTTTGTATTCCCGAATCATTCGAATTTTTGCCTTCAAAGGGAAAAAGTAAGCAATCAAAACTTGAAACTTGTGCTTTTAAAGGTTTTAAAGGTTGTTGTTTAAACTTTGAAAATTTGAGAAAATTCTATAGATCAAAATTCCACCACAATTTGAAATCAAATTATTCAAGCTTTGTACAATTCAACATTTTTTAGACAACCACAAGTCACTTGCTCAACTGCCGGCGCTATCTCTCCCTATGGACACCAGGGCAGATGTCAATGTAAACCTTATACAACGGGTGAGTTGGAAAATCGACAAAATGGGCTGAGAACTGAATTATTTTTATGGAGTTTAAGAATGGAAAACTTGAAACTTGAAGTTTTTTTTTGTGTACTTTCTGCTGGAAATCTTGTAAATATCCCTTTCCTGGTGCACTTAATTCTTCCATTTTCCCCTCACAGAAACGATTTGGTGTCACGGGAGGAAATGGAAGATTTGAGTGCGCTAGAATGGAGGTGTTTGCAAATTTGCGAGCACAAGCTATGACGAAAAGTGAAATTGGAATTAGCGAAACGGACTAGTGCCCAAAAGGGATAAATTTGAAACATTGTTTCAAAAAAATTTTTTATTGTTAATTTTCGAGATTTTGGTCACTTTTTAAACTGATACTTCTTTCCAGGCCCCAACTGTGACCAATGTGCCGCGAAATCTTTCCACTTGTCACCGCAAAATCCACAGGGATGCATTCCATGTTTCTGCATGGGAATCACCGATCAGTGCCAGGTTGATTAACATAATTTAGTGATACGGTGACCGGTATTTGTAACTCTTACGGTGGCCAGTCAAGGATAAATTTACATTAGCTTTCAAATTTCATGCCGTAATTTACATTTAAAAAATGATAAAACCCAGAAAATTGGCGTCAACATCAACATCTGAAATCGATGCCTTTTAGAAAACAGATTCACTTCCTTGGACACAATACTCAATCATCATAAATTTCAGTCATCAACTTATCAACGCTCCACCGTCAACATCGACTACTCGCGTGGTGACCGTGATCCACTCTCGTTGACCTCATCAGACGTCCACCAGCCATTCACTCCAAGGGAACAGGTGCCTACAGTGCATGAAAAACTCTAGGTTTCAAAGTTTCAACAGTGATCAGTAAAGCTTTAATGATGATTGAAATAAATTCATAGCGAGAATTTCAAGGTAATTCCACTAACACAAGAAAATCTTTAAGTTTCAAGTTTTTTGAGTATTACTTTACTTTCTTCGAACCAATTGGTTGCTTTGCTTATAAAAAATAGAATAATTTGAAGCAAAATGAAAGCAAAATTCATAACTTTATCGTTTTAAGTTAGACGAGTCTGCTAATGAAAGATTTCTAACAAAATAATAAATACTGATACTGGCCAAACTTGCTCAAACCAGACATAGTATAATTGACTGACTACGAGAGAAAAAGTGAGATTAGTGTTTCAAAATAAGTGATCTTGACTTGACTCGACTTGCCTTTCTTGACGTATCTAATTTAATCTACATCAACGCTTTCAGGCTCAAGTCACCGGCTCCGAGATTCGCTTCAATCGCTTTGGCGAGGCCCGTGGACAGACCCTTTACTGGAAATTATCAGAGAAATTCACCGGAAACAAGGTAGGCTTTTCTCCTATTTTTCGTGAAACTTTTACGAGTTTCATTTTAGCCAGCTAGTCGTAAAGCATCTCAGTTCCAATCTTTCAGACAAATGTTAAAATTCATAAACGAAATACTAGTATTTCTAGTAAAAAATAGTGGAGCGAAGCATTCGATTCAAGAAGCAGTTCAGAAAATGATTTTGTTGGCTTAGTTGCTCAACTCCGATTATTTATTATATGTTGAAGTTTATGATACGCTAAGAATCTCAAATCAAACGCCTAAAATTGAAATTTTAAAAAAAATTGATTCAGATGACTTCATTCCTTTAGGAATACAAAATCTAGAAGCAATTTTTTGATTTTTGAATTTGCCTAACTTCACGAGTTTCAATTTATTCGACTAGTAAATGATCATTAGTACTTTAATTCTGTACTTTAACAAATTAGTACTTGAATTCTTTAATGCAACTGCAAAAAAACGAAGTAAAAAAAATTTCGTTTGAAGGAAAGCGATCCGGATTTTTATTACCCTTAATTCTCCATTAAATGCCTTAATTTGAAACTTAAAATCAAAATGAAAATTTGAAAAAGCTTTTTATGTACTTTTAGAACAAAATCTAGAAGTAATTTTTGTTTTAACTTTGTGTAAATTTAACAAGTTTCAATTTATCTGACGAGCAACAAAGAATTTCGGTCTTAATGAGAACGAGGTGAGAGAAAATTTCAAACAACAACTTCTACATTGATTATACCGTCAGAATCGTCAATTAACCGGCTAAAGTTGAAAAATTTGTAATTAGAATCGAAACGAAAACTAGCATCGCTTCAGGTGACTTCGTATGGTGGCACGCTCAAGTACGTCTTCAAGTTCGAGGGTTACGGAACGCCGAATCAAGGTTGCTTTTGGGGAAATAAACAAACTTTAAAGTGTTACTTTTAATTGAAATTCAAAACTGTTGTCAGAGGGCTTATTTTGTTGAAAGAAAGCCCTTTTTTCAGACGCTGATGTGATCATCCGCGGAAATGAGATCAGCTTACAGCACAAGGCACAATTAAGCCCAAGAGCCGGCGCCGAGAACTCGCTTGAAGTCAAGGTAGACAAGAAATATTATCGTATAGTCAAGTAATTCAAATGCAATTTTCTTAAATGGTAATACAGAATCCTCTTTGCTGAATCCTTTTTCTAAAAAGGATCTATTTCAATTGAATTTCATCGAAAACAATTGCAATCTATCCGCCATTTTTCATTCAATTCGTGAATCACGGTAGTTTGTTTGAAATATGGTGTTTTGAAGAAAAGTCGAAAGAAATTGTTTGGATAAGTTGCTCGTTTTAGTTCTTCAATTTTGAAACATTCAAATTCAATCATCGTGCGCAAATGCTCGTGATTGAAGATGTGATTAATGGTGTTTTAAGTTGAACAACTCGGAAAAAAACAAACTCTACAAAGCATCAAGCTTTCTTCATGTTTTACTATGTTAGTTAACCAGGAAACTCTGTAAATTTCTCAGAAAATCAATCGCCCCAACGACAATTTCAAGCCAAAATCTATTTTTACAGATTCGTGATCTACTAGCAAAAACAAAGGAAAACTCTGTAAAAATCAAATTTTTAAAAAAAACCTCTGAAAGGATCCAATTAAGTAGTTGGTGCAATCTTGCAATGCACCTCTTTTTGAAACATTTGAATCCAATCGAGCTAGGTAAAGAGCTGAAAACGAATTTTAATTTGAATCTAATAAATTGGCTGAATAAGTTGCTCTTTTCAGTCATTTTATTTTAAAACATTTAAACGTAAAACAATTGGATCTTATTGTTCTTTGAAAAACAAAGATTTTTCCTTTAAAATCTCAAAAACATTCAAATTTCCAGTTCTTCGAGGATCGCTGGCAGCGAACTGATGGCGGTGCGGCTACCAGGGAACACTTGTTGATGGCGTTGGCCGATTTGGACACAGTGTTGATTAAGGTGTGCTTTATTCTGTGATCGTATCGTCAAGTAAATCATTTCCATTTCCCTTTCCTATAAGGAATATAGTATTGTTTTGTATATGATAATATTTCTTCTAGGCCACCTACAACGACGATCCGAACGGCGCCTCTTCGCTCCTCTCGACGAGTCTCGAGTACGCGGAGGCTTTCGGCGGAAACGGGCAACCAGCTTATGAGGTTTTTTTTCTACTAGTAAAACTAAATGAAATCTTCAATTGTTTACGGTACGTGCGTTCAATTCGTGCGTATCGATACTGAAGTATAATGAAATCCTTTCCAGGTCGAACAGTGCCAGTGCCCACCCGGCTACACTGGCACGTCTTGCGAAAAATGTGCCCCCGGATTCTCGAGGTTTACTGCATAGCCAATTTTTGAGCTAGAATTTCAATTTTTTTTTAAATTTTGAGTTTACCCAGTACAAAGTCATCAAATTACAAAATTTTACAATACAAGCTGTACTTCGAAAGTCCCATGTTTTAATGTTCTTGAGCTCTGAACAAAATAGTGAAAGCTAATGTCAAGGCTTCTTTTCGACGATTTTTTAAAGAGTAAAACCTTTTATCTTTAGTGGATTACTGTAGAAATTTCCTTAATTTGAAGTGAACCATTCTACAAAAAACTCCGATGGTTTAGAAATTCGGAAAAGTGTGTCTCTAGCAAATTATACTCATTAGAAGCTTCCTATCGATTCAATAGAGCTAAAAGAAATGGATTGCTGTAAAAAAACTCATAATTTAAAGTCAACCAATCTAACAAAAACTAGCCAATAACCTGAAAAAAAAGAAAATTTGATTTGAAAATAACATGTTTCAATATATTCAAAGTACAACTAAAAAACGGAAAATTAGTTTCTTTTGAAATCCTATATTTGCTATTTTTTTCTATAAAGTACTATATTTACTATTTATTTATTTATTTACTAAAAGTTCCACGATAATTCAATAAAAATCCCATTTTAAGATTCAATAGACAAAGAAAACGGGTAAAAAATTGCAAGTTTTAAAAATACTAAATGCGGGTTTTCTAAACACTTGAAATCTTCAATTCAAATGAATCTTGATCTAGCTTAAATTCAAATTATTTAGATATGCAAATTTATAGCAAATTAGCATGTTTAATGTAGAATTTTCAGATCCGGCAAAGGATTGTACTTGGGCACGTGCGAGCGATGCGAGTGCAACGGACACGCCTCTCAGTGTGACAAGGTACGCTTTGAATAGCTGAAAATGGTTTGAGAAAATGGTTAGCTTCAAAAACTAAAGGATTTCTTGAGTTACTCGGTTCAAACCAGTTCAGTGATTGGAAATTTCACTTTCTTGCTTTTATGGCAATTTCTCTGTTTTAGCATATCTAGTGCTGGGGTCTTCAAAAGTAAAAATAACTTAATTATCATAAAATCTTTTAGGAATATGGTTTCTGTATCGATTGCCAGCACAATACCGAAGGAGATCAATGCGAGAGGTAAAGGTTTTAGAGTTAAAAATCTTTTTTAAACACTTGTTTCATTGTGATGTTTGTGAAACTAGATACAGAGAATATAATGGATTAAAAAAATCTACGTATTGCTAAGAGTTCTGTTAAAAATACAGTAGGTTTTAAATTTACTGAAGTTTACAACTTGCATTTAAATCCCTAAAGCTGTTTTACCAAGTAAACGACTTTAAAACAAGTGTTTCAAAGGGATGGAGATCAAATTAGGCACCCAACTATAGCGTGAAATCAATAGTACAACTGTTTTTAATTACTGTAAACTATTTAGTTTAATTTTGCATTAAAAGTCTTTGATTAATGTTAGCTTGTTTTGTTATTTGTTATTTCCATTCAAATTTATCATTTCAGATGCAAACCCGGTTTCGTCGGTGACGCGCGTCGCGGAACACCGCACGATTGTCAGCCAGCTCCGACTAAACCACCATGTCAATGCAACAATCACTCGCCCAGAGGATGCGACTCGTTCGGAAGATGTTTGGTCGGTTTTGAAAACTAAATTTAGCTAGGATGATAAGGGCCTAGCTGATTTCTTTTCGAAACTTTAGGTTTTCAGGTTTTCGTAGGTTTTTTAAGATTTTGGACTCTCTGCATTTTCTCATCAACTAGAACCCAAACCTACAAAGCTAATTACCTCAAATGCTTTCTGAGCCGCAAATTTTGAAACAACGACTTCAATTTTAACCTAAATATCAATTGAACCTTACAATTTGTGAATTTAAGATGATGGTGTCAAGAAAAGGCATCCAAATAACAAACATTGAACCTGGCTTGATTGATATTAAACCTATACTTTTGAAACACAAGTATTTTTATTGATAAAGTGGATTTTAACTAAAATGCTTTCTCAGTTAATCCGTTTTCTAAAAGAGTTTTAGTTTATTAAAGAATTTTAAACAAGCATATTTCATTTCAGCTTTGCGAGCACAACACCGAGGGAGTGCACTGTGAGCGCTGCAAGAAAGGATACTATGGAGATGCGACTCGGGGACGACCCGACGATTGTACGCCATGCCCATGCCCGTGAGTTGTTGAACTTATATAGTGCTGAATTCTGTAAACTCTTTCTTTCTGGCGCACTTAATGCTTCCATTTTCTCCTTACAGCAACGATTTGGTGTTCCGAGAAAAATGAAAGAATTTAGTGCGCGAGAAAGGGGATGTTTGCAAGATTTGAGAGCACAAAGTACGCTAGAAAACAGATTGTAATTAGAAACCGTTTTCCACAAAAATGAGTCGTTTAAATTGAAACTAGAGGTTTTCAATGCTAGCCTGGAAATGACGGTGTTAAGCTAATAGTAAGATGGCGTTTCAAAAGGCAAGTTCCAAGTTAAGCCGAGTGAAACAATTAATTCGAAAAACAATGATAAAGCATGAAGAATTGCTTTCTTAAAATCTAGGGTTGAATAAAATATCCAATAAATTCCAGCGGTGCCTCGGATTGCTTTTTGGACCCACAAGGACAAGTGTCGTGCCGTATTTGCCCGGCCGGATTGACCGGACGCACGTGTCAAGAGTGAGTGTTTTAAAGTACCTACCTTTCACAACACCTATTGGCAAAAGACTAGCTATGGTCACTTTTTCTAAGTTGAAACACTTATTTTTCAATTTAAATTTGACAAAAATTATATAAGCTTATTTAAGGATTTTTCTTTTACAATAATCAGCTCTCGGTTGACTAAAAGAAATTATGATTTTTTATTGAGCTTTCTCGACTGAAATGACTAAAATTGAGTTCCCAACAACTTTAGTAGGAAACTAAAATCAACTGGGTTATCAAATATGACTGTATTTGTTCAAATTCTAAATTTAAGAATGAAAAGCTTTCCTAAAAATCTCTTGAAAATCCTTACCACAAAAGATTTTCGAGCTTTTTTGAAGATTAGAAAACAGAAAACCCTTAAATCTCTAATTTGTACCGCAAAAGTCTCTAAAATTTTTTCACGTTTCAACTTTAATCATTAACAAGCGGGTTTTTCAAATACAATTTTGATAAATAAATCCACTCAGCCAATCCCTTTTTTTAAAAAAGGATTGGCTGAGATTTTCGAAAACATTTGTAATCCACCAGCCATTTTTCCTTTCGATCAATCGAAGAGAACTTACAATCAGTACCAAAATTTTTAGATGTGCTCCCGGCTACACGCGGAACACGAAACAGGACGGACGCCAGTGTATCCCGATCGGCGATTTCAAGCAGGATCACATCGATTTCATCCCGGCGCCCGATGGTGAGAAGAACCGCAGAGTCGGGCAAACCCCTAGACCGTACGGTCAAGATGTGGTCGAATTCCCCACTCCTAGAGCAACAGTAGTTCCGACGATCACCCCGGAACAGCCCAGACAGCACCGTCTCGTTGCATCGGGGCGCAGACGAAAAATCAGAGTGCGCTCGCGCTTCGTGAAAGCTAAGCAATAACGAGATCAGGAAACTGTAAAGCCCCGTTTCCTGGATATCTTTACTTCAGCTGATTACCGGGATACTGTAGTGAGGCAAGAGGCTGGGCTGACTTAAGAATAGATGTTCAACTTAAATTTTCTTCAAATTTACATTTTTAGCCAAAAAAACATGACAATGACTTGATTGTTGGCCTTTAAATTATCTCATGTTTTTGTCCGTTTTGTCCTCAAAAACTCGATTTTTGTCCGATCGCTGTCTTCGTTTTTCAAATTTACAATAATTTTTGGGCATAAAGTTTGTGTGAAAAGTGTCCTAAATGAAACAATTTTATTTTTTCAAAAAATTTCCACTCACTTGCAATTTTTGTTAAGAAAAATCGTCATTTTCACACATTCACCCAAAAAAATTTTTTTCAAACTTTTTCTCCACTTTTATCCGTTTTCTCTTTTCTAAACTGCCTTTTTCAAAAGAAAAAAACTGCCTTTCTTAAAGATTTAAATTTCAATCACTTACTTTTTTTGATTTCCCTTTTTCACTTACAATCAGGTGCCGTTTTTGAGATGGAAAATTTGTTTTTTTAAAAAAAAAATTTTTTTTTTTTGAAATTTAAAAAATCTTGTTTCAAAGTTAAAAAAATCAAATTTCCGCTTCAAAACTAATATCGCTTCAAAACTAATATCTTAAAAAAAACCTTTTTTTAATGATTTTTTGACTTTTATGGCAAAATCTCTCACTTCATCACCTAAAATCGCTTGATTTTTTTGTTAAAATAAATGTTTCAATGTCTGTGTCTTGTTTTTTAAACGCCAAAGTCCAGTCCTTTGTTCTATTTGTTTTAATGCACATTGTACTAGGAAAATCTTGCAAACACGCCCTTCCTGGCGCACTCAATCTATCCATTTTCTTCTCGTGACACCAAATCGTTACTGGGAGAGGGAAATGGAAGAATTCAGTGCGCCAGAAAGGGATGTTTACGGGATTTGAGAGCTCAAAGTACACGATAAGCACACACTGATCATATCGAAAACAGATACACAAACTGCCGTATTTACTCGAATAGAAGACCGGTCTTCTATTTTTTTCAATCACCCCCTAGACCCCGTCTTCTATTCGAGACGGTCTTATAATCGAGGCCGGTCTTCTATTCGAGTAAATACGGTATTCATTTTAAGTTGCAAAATTTGATTTCACAAACATATGCAAAATCACTTTGTTAGAGGGAGAAATTGAGGGACAAATCCCCACTTTAGAGTTCAGTAGAGCACTCTTTCAGTACTCTTTCAGTACTATTTTAGAGTACCTGGACTCGTTTAAACAAATAGTTGGCCTTCACAGAGTTGGCGGATCAGGAGTCGCGTTGAATCTCGTAATTAGTAATTATTCACTTCAGCTTGAAACACAAAAGTTTTCATCTCAAAAGACATTAAAAACTAAGTTTTGCACATTTTAGAAGTTAATTTTCTTAAAACAAATAAATTTACTTGTCTAGAAATTAAGATAACAACTAAGAAACGTATAAAAATCGTCATTCGTTTATGTGAATTGAAAATTTCACTGTTCTCGTCAAAAAACAAACGTCTAAACTGTTCACAAAGCGTTTTTAAATGTTTTCTGTTTAGTTTTTATTCTGTTGTTTAATGTTCTGAAGGCAAGATTGCTTTTTTGAAAAAAAAAATAACAAAAAAGCTGTCGTGTTTCAAAGAAATCCGCTACCAAAGGGCTTTTTGTGAGTTAATTAATTCTTGTTCAGTTGTTTAACAGTTTTTACAGCAGTACAACAATTGGTGCCATTGTTTAGTACAAGTTTCATGAGTAGTAACACTTAACCAGTCACGGTTGTGCTTATCAAATCGAATTACGTGTCAGCTTTGTGAGAATCTATGGCAGCTGTACTCAAGAGTACTTTTGAGTCCCGATTCTCCGTAGCTAGTACACAAAAGTCAACAAGTGCCTTTTATTTATATATAGAAGTGCCTTTTATTGCCTTTCAAGAAGTGATAGAAGAATTAACAACAACAAGAAAGATTCATCGAATGCTACTTACTTGAAATTCGAATCAATACCTAATTGTGTGCTATTTTTAAGTCTTCTGAATTACTCTCCCAAAAGTACTGTACTTATCAAATCTTAATCCAGAGTGCTGCTTATCCAAATCTTTAACTCAAATGATTAATCCCAATCACATTCTCTTCTGCAGCTCGCCTCCGCGTGGAGATTCTCGAGAAGAAGCACCAATTCGTGTACCCGGGCGAACGCGTGCAATGGACGTGCCGAGTGGCCTCGAAAACGGTTTGGAAAATAACAAAATAACAGCTCAAAGATTAATCATTTAACAGAAAAATTTTACCATAACCACTTAAAAACTTATTTAGATTAACCATAAGCTTGATGAGTTTGATTTTTTGCAGGGCAACCGGAAATTAACAAACAAATCTTCAGCTATTACCCGTTCAACTTGAAACAAGGATATTGTTTCAGGCTTGAGTTCATTTTGCAATAGAAACGCAATAGAAATTATTCAAGAACTACCAATGAACTGACAAAGTTTCAATTTTTGACTAATCCAAGAGCCGATTTGTACACTAGTATTTCCTTGAACTGAAAATTGCTTGAATTACCAAACGAGCTTTTGATACGTAGCGGTCCAACTTGAACAAAGGCTTATTTAGTCAGACTTTTGTTTACATTGCAATAAGAACTATGAATTAACAAAAAGCTATGGAAGTTTTAATTTTGGCTTAATTCTAACAACAATAAATCCATTTTGAGAGAGCCTAAAGTTTGTTTTGACAGTGAGCACATGGGACGAGATTAGCAGACCGACTTTCGATTATTAACCATCCAAATTGAAACACCATTATTTTATTTAGTAAAAAAATCTGTGTAGATAGAATTTTTCTTATAATTAGTGCAAAAAAAGCTTAGGAAATTAACCCCATTAACATTTTTAGAAGTCTGAAGTCTTTATCTTTATTTTTTTGACACACTACACACTCAAAATCAAGATTTTTGAATCTTTGGAACCTTTAATAACAAATAGTTTGGATAACACAAAAGTAAAATTTCATAATCTTCAACTAAAACTTGAAACTAATAAGCTTTGATAACAAATTTGACTAAAATCTCGGAAACTTTAGCCCCCAGAGCCAGTGCAAATCGAGTGGCAACGCGTCGGTTACTCAAATCTTCCCGATGGGGCATTCGATGATGGTCAAGGAAATCTAAGCTTGGAAAGCGTGCAATCGCAAGACGTTGGTGTGTATCGATGCAAAGGCTACACGTCTGGGCAATTCGCGAACGACGACGCGCACTTAAGATTGATCGAGGAGCGACAAGAGGAGAGTGGTGTGTCACTTACAAAACTTATACCAGTAATCTCCTTTTCCTAAAACGTGTTCCTTTTTCCCGTAATCTTGTCTCTATTTTTATCCAATCTATTCACTTTTTGTATTTTTCGATATTTTTCTTTGAAACCCCACAAAATCGAACAAAAAGTGGATAGATTGGATAAAAAATAGAGATAAGATTACGGTAGAAAGGGGAAAGAGGACACGGTTTAGGAAACCGATTGGAGGGGAGAAATACTCTACTTACAGTACTACTATACTTATAAAGGATTGTAGCTACCGTATGCTCACTACAGTAAGCAAAAAGGCATTCAGTTGGTTGAGCATTCTCAGCAAAGTTAAATCAAATATCTTTTGAATTTTTTCATTGCATTAATTGATGCTGAGAAATTTCTCTAGAAGCAAGCAAAGTTGAAACATTTCTTTTTCTTTTCAAGAATTTTAGTTGAAAGATCAACCAATTGAATACTTTTGGCTTATTATAATGAAAAAAAGAAACTAGAGCTTACTGTACTTTGACAAATTTTAGTTTTTGGTTAGATTAAACGGCTGTACTTTTCAATAAACATGACTATCAAGAATTACCAAGCTTATCAATCATTTGTGATTGATAAGCTTGGTAATTCTTGATAGCTTGGTAATTCTTGATTGATAAGACTTCTAAAGGTTGCTTTTATAATTTATGCGACATGTTTATTACTAAAATGAAGCTTAAAGGAAGGGCTTTCATTTAAACAAAAGCTCAAGTCGATCAGAAATTTCAGTATTGAGCAAAAGATTCCAAAAGATTGATAATTCTTGATAGCCATGTTTATTGAAAAGTACAGCAGTTTAACCTAAGCAAAAGCTAAAATTTGTTAAAGTACAGTAAGCTCTAATTTCGTTTTTTGTTTACAACTTTTGCGAACACAAGCTCATTAGTGTTAGTTTCCAACATTAAAACCTATCACATTATTCAAAACTATGAAACAATAGTGCAATAAGAACTACGAATTAACAAAAAGCTATCGAAGTTTTAATTTTGGCTTAATTCTGACCACCCGTTAACGAACTTCCACTGGAATTAGATTTAAAAAGCAAATTCTAAATCCCATTACTACCAAGACACTAAAAGCACTAATCTATTTGTACCAAATGTACTCGTTAACCCGTGTTTCTTACACAGAATTTCTCAGAAAATGTCCTAACCACATTCAATCTCAATCATCTAAATGTTTTTTTAATGTTACAATTTGTTTCAATGATACAAAAATAGCAAACAGTATCAGCTTAACAACTCCAGTACGTTGGCACTAGTCCAGCAATTTCTCCTTGATAACAATGTAATTTGAAACAAAGATTTCTCAAACTCGAGGCACTTTGTTGCTGACTTAATTGAAACCTACAATTTGCAAGTAAATCAAATAACGATCAGCTGCGTTCAAAAATTACCCGCTCTCCTCGTTTCATATTGAGAATCTTGAAACTCAGCATCTCCTTTAGCCCGCCATCGTCCATTCGCTCCAACGACGACAAGTCGCCCATTCAACGACCAAATCGATAATGAGAGGGGTACTGTAGGAGCTAACTACAGTAATCCATTTCCTAAAACGTTTCCCCTTTCTACCGTAATCTTGTCTATCTTTTTTATCCAATCTATCCACTTTTTGTCTAATTCTGAGGTTTCAAAGAAAAATATCGAAAAATACAAAAAAATGGATTGATTGGATGAAAAATAGAGACAAGATTATAGTAGAAAGAGAAAAGGGGACAGGGTTTAGGAAACGGATTACTGGAGTTACAGTAATCTCCTTTTTCTGGCTTTGGGAGACTGATCGGCACCAGCTTTTTTGTGTGAAAATGCACCGCATTTAACACCAAAATTTCAAACTCAAATCGAAAGTATTTAACTTGAAACATATCAAGCTTTGCACCCAATAAACTTGCTGTGAAGTAAAAATGCAAATTTTTCTTAAAACATGAACTTTTTCAGGACAATCCACCCCGCAACCCATTGTTGAGCCGGCTGGTCCGATTACTGTCAATGAGGGAGAGCCTGTCTCCCTTCGGTAAGTCGAATTTTAAATTTAAATAAATAAAAACTTGAGAAGTTGCTTTAGAATTCTCCTTAAGTTAAGATTTTTCAAAAATTTACATTTTCTTGTTTACGGAAGATTAAGCAGATCAATCAAAGCAGAAATATAGCCGATTTCATGCTTTTTTAGCATTCAAATGCTAATGCTTGGACAGTAAAAATGATTCAAAAAATCAATGCTAAAAAAGCACCTTTAGTTTTCGTTTAAAAGTTTACAGAATTTTCAAAATCTCTAAACACAAAGCACAAAAGTGTATGAGGATCCAGGAGTTTTGGCAGGATTAGTGAAGGATTTGAGCAAGTATAGTTAAAAATTTTGAAACATGGCTTTTTAAAAATTGTTAGGGTTTTCTCAAAATTCGTTTAGGAACCAATTTTTAAATATTTTTAGGAAAATGATGATTTTAAAACCTATGATTTGAAATCGTAAGCACATAAAAACCCGAAACTCGTTGTTTAAGCTGCCAAATCGTTATTGTTGCTTAGATTGCTTAGAGAGTTGCTTAGATTGAAACATTTTTTCTATGGACCCAAATTTACCTCTTTAATATACTAAATGTTGAAAGAGAACGTCTTTAATATACTAAAGCTAATAATAACTTAATATACTATAGCAGCGTTGAGCAAATTTACCTAAGAAAAAGAAACTAAAAAGATCAGCTGTTTTTTTGATCAACCAGGGAGCATTTGTAAACCAAAGAACAAGGAAAAGAGAAAGATTTTACCGGCTTTCAATTTAAGTGGCCTGTTCTTCGTTTAAACTTGAGCACATTGAAACATAATATCTTAAACAAATGCCGAAATAGTAGCCAAATCTACTTCCAGAAATTAATTTAGCTCGTTGTCAGTTCAGCCTGTGAAAATTTTCAGTTTCAACTTGAACGACCAACGAACTAAACGCTAATCCCAACCTAGTTGAGCTTTTAAAAAATTACACCCTAATCTTTTCAACAATTAAGCTATTTGAAGCTATGAAAACATTAAACCCACAAAGATTACTCTTTGAAATGGATCCGGTGTTTCAATTCGAGCAATCACTTTCATGCGTAACAATTGTTAGTTGGCTAGCTTCAAAGTCCTGTAAACGCACCCCTTCTGGCGCACTTAGCCTAGAAAAATCAGTTATAAGATAGGATTTATCAAGTAGATAAACAGAACTGCTTCGAACTAGACCAGTTCTTCAACTTGTACTTTATGCTCTCCGAATTTCGTAAACAACCCCTTTCTGGTGCACCCGATTCTTCCATTTCCCACTTTCAGTAACGACTTGATAGCCCGAGGAGAAATGGAAGAATTCAGTGCGCCAGAAAGAAGATGTTGAGAGCACAAAGTGCACTTATTCCAAGGGAAGAGGAAATTGAGTGGCCCAATCTTCACTCAAAGTCCAGCTTATTGAAACTTGATTTCTTGCGTAGTCTTTGAAATTTAAGAAACATTGATTAATTGTTTGTTGCTGAAACGAAAAACTTTCAGTTGCCACGTGCCCGGCATTCCCGATTGTCAAATCACATGGCACAAGGAGTATATCGGCGGCCCGCTGCCCCATGGTGTCTACCAAGCCGGAAACGCTGTAAAGATCCCACAAGCGCAACTCAAGGTTTGATTTCGTGCTACAGTACAATTCAATGAAAAAAAAACTGCAAAAAACTGGTGAACTGCATCACTGCTTGCAAATTTTTCCATATCCACCAAAATTTGAAACATTGACTTTCTTTCTTCAGCTTAAACAGGCTAAAATCAAATATTTTAGGATCAACCATTTTGGTTTCAAGATATAGTAGAATTCCTGGAGCATATTATTGTTGGAAAGGGTTTCTTTGGACAGCAAAGTTTAAACATTCAATTTTAAGGCTCAAAGTACCCTGATCAAAGCCAAATTTCAGCATTCAAGTATTTTTGGTTCCAAGATATCATAAAGTTCTTGGGAAAACTATCAATCACTGTTGAGAAATGTCTTTTTGGGCAGTCAAACTTGAAGTTTTGGTATTTTTCAATGTTCCCCACCCTAAATGGGTTTGGATGGCATTGGATAGACAATGGCAATAACTGGCAACGCAAGTTTGCGATCGCAGTCTATTTCAGAACAACCACTTTGCTGGTGGCTACTTTTCTTTCTCCTGATTAAACATTTGTGTTATAAAAATCAGTTTTTTAGTATTTTTGAGTGCGTTACCTACCGTAGAACAGTTTGGACCTTAAAACAACTTTGATTCATAAAAATGGGGGAAACACCCAAATTTTTTTCTATGATTTGATGAGGGACAAACTAAAAAGGTACCAGAACAATATAGAGGACATTGAACGACCAGATTACCCCAAAAAATCAAATGATTTCTGTTTGTGAGATTTTCTAAATGCAAATTTTTTTCTATTTTCTGATTTTCTAAATGCAAATGTTCAAAATTTACAAAAAAAATGGGTGGGATTGAAATGATCGAAATTTGATTGAAAAGAAAAAGATTAAAAACATTAAAGTTCTTTGATGTACTTTTGGAAACAAAAAGAAGATCAAGGGTTGAGTGGGATGAAAATAAAACTAACCTCTATGCTTACTATTATTATATTTTAGACTTAATCGTTAGTGTTTTTGGAAAAGACTTTTAGAATATGAAGAGTAATGCAAATGATTGCTCTGAATGCATTTCTCTAAACTTGAAACATTAATTTTCAGGATGCCGGCAACTACGTGTGCTCAGCGGTCACTCAATACGGAATCGGAAAGGCGCCCGATGTTCAAGTGAACGTCGTGAGACGTAAGAGAATTTTGCCGAACTCTTCTGAAAAAGCAGCTAACTTCCCCTAGTATTAACTCTGTTTTCAAATTTGAATGAGATTTGATGCATGAACTAATTGAGAACCTTCTTACTCCGATTGTGCCTTGATTGGGATGAATTGAGGCTGAGTTTTTGACAGCTTATCTGCAATTTGTCAGTGTTTGGAGAGTTAAAGTAAGCTAAAACTTTAGCATCACATTAAAATTAAGACGAATGAGTGCCATTTTTAGCTGATCACATTGAAACTTAGAAGTATTTCTTCAATTTGCGTACAATTGTTGGACTGACAATGTGATGCTCAAATGAGGATCATTTTCGTAGAAATAAAATCAAGAACTTACGAGTGGAGCTTACTAGTGAATGTGATTGATTTCTTCCTTCTAAACTGCGTGTGAACCTTTTTTTCCTATTCAGCTCCTCCACCTCCACCACCCAGTGATCCAATCCCGCCACCACCGCGTCGCAGCTCGAAGAAGTGTGACACTCGACCTCGTCAACCACCTCCACCACCACCGCCAACGCCAATGGCCGAGATCTGGACCCCGCCACCGTCAATCCCTGATTGCTCGGATGCCCGTAAGCATGGTTTTTTTGGTTGAATTTCAACTATTAGCTTGTACAGAAAAGTCTTTTCGTTCCTTTTCGGGTTTCAAATGTCTTAGGTCTGGATTTTTTTTGGGAGCGTAAACTCGTAAGCAACGTAAGCAAATTTCACTCTCGAATTTGCTTGAAAGTGAACCGAAATTGACTGAAAAAGATGGGAAATTGAGCAATAAACACTTTTTATTTAGAGCAAATCATAGGGTAATTCGTGAATTTGTTATTTTTCAACGGAAATACGAAAAGGAAACGAAAAGACTTCCTGAACAGCCTAATACTTGGCCGGCTGAACAGGATTTTCTTTCTGTAGCAAATTCAGAGCTGTTCCTAGAAGCCTAAAGTCATGATTGGGCAGGTAAAGCCAAGCCTGCTGGTCAAGCCAAGTCTTAGCCTGGCATCCGCAAGGCAATACTAGCTATCAAATCTACTTGAAAGGTCAAGCCAAGACAATGCTAGGCCAAGATGGAAAACCAGGTCAAATCATTTGATCTGGATTTGAACTGACTTTGTCTGGCTTGACCAGCAGATTCGGCTTGGCTTAGCCAGCCGATCTGGCTTGGCTTGACCAGCAGATCTGGCTTGGCTTGGCCTTAAGATCTTGGCTTAGAAACAGCTCTGAACAAAGCAAGTCTACTGTCTGCATGGTTCATTTTGAGAAATTTTAGCATGGCATGCCTTCTTTCAAAAAAATTTCGGTTTTAAAATACTTAGGGTTATTTTTTCAAATGCATCACAATTGACACTTCAATACGGTCGATCAGGCAACTGTGATCCCGTTAAAGTTGGAACATTCTTTTTGAGTGTTTTGAAAGATAAAATAGTCATTTTTCTATACTAAAATTTATGCAAAGTATTTCTAAATTTAAGATCTGAATATTTTAAGTTTAGTTTCTTTGTAATTTAAAGCCCAGCTCATGTTATCAGGTTCGAATTAGGCTTTCAAGCTGGCCGCCACCCTCAAAAGATGAGATTTTAAGAAATTTTAGTCACTCATCTCTACTTAAACCTATCAATTTTTCAAAATAATGAAGTGAAAAACTTTAAAGAACTTGAGGCAAGCAAGAAATTTGCATTTTTTTCAAGTTAAAAAGACTAGATTGTACGTTGCCATGTTCAAAAATTCAAAACCAATGCCAATAGCAAATTAAAATCCCAGTATCAGTTTTGAACCTGATCAAAATAGTTTCAAATGTCTCATTTTAGCATTTTTCCATTCGCTTTACCAGCAAAAAGCTAAACTTTCATTTTAAATCATTTTAAACCCAAGAATACTGTACGATACCAGTTTTAATCTCACTACAGTAATCCGGAAAGAAAAAAAATCCAGCTTCAGTTGAGAATCTTGAAAAATACTCACTCTTGATAATTGAATACTTTTATTTCTGGATACTGTAGCGGAGACTAGGACATTACTGTATTTTTAAGGAAAATTTGTATAGCTAGATATTCAGCTTAAGTTTTGCATGTTCAGTGCATGGCTCTTTTTTTTTTATTTGCCCCTTTTCTTTCAGCTCCTCCACCACCAACTCGTCCACCGCCCCGGCAATGCGGACCCCGACGTGGCCCTCCACCACCCCCGCCTCGCCCCGAACACTGTCTCTTTGAGCGTAAGCATGCGTTTTGGGCTTGCTGTGCTTGCTTTGGTCTACCGTATTCCTTTCTTTTAGAATCCGTTTTCTAAAACGTGTCCCTTCCCTTTTTCTACCGGTATCTCGTCGATTTTTATCCAATCTATCCACTTTTTTGGCTGATTCTGTGAGTCGAAGATATCGAGATCACAAAGGATATCAAAAGATATAAAAAGTGGATAGATTGGATAAAAAATAGAGACAAGATTATCGTAGAGGAAGGCACGCTTTAGGAAATGGATTGGTTGAGAGAAATACCACTGTAACACTGTCACATTCCCAGTTTACCATATCACTACAATATTGCTGAACAAAAAGCTACGGATACTGTAGAATTGCCTAAGTTGCACGCTTTAACGCTAAAAGCTTATTAATTTCTCTCACCATGAGCCTTGAAATTTATCAGTTTCAACTTTTAGTGCTTGTCAATAGATGAATTTACAATAATTGTCGGAAACGTTTCGTTCTACTCTGCTCTTTTTCATATTTTAAAACTTTGCCATTTCCATTCCCGTTTGAGTAAACAGCTATTACTAAACGTCTTGTCTTTTGTTGAGATCGCAGTAAATAAAAAATTTGCAAATTTCCGTCGCCCAAAGTCACAAGAACAATTGTAACGTTCTTATGGCTTTGGACGACGCAAAACTCATGCAAATTAAGAAATTGATGTGTAATCAATTTGTGGCCAAATTCACATCTATTTCACTCCACGATAACATTAAAACTTTTCACAATTAGTCAATATGAGAAGCCTTATCAAAGTTATTAAAAATCCCTACCTCACCGAGAACACTTCTAATTTGAAACTTCATTTTTTCAATCGCACAACCTTTCAAACTTACACACTCTTTTAAAAGCACACCTTCACAATTTTAATAATTGTAACCTACTGTAATTGCTTTTGCTCTTCAAATTACTTACTTTCAGCCGTCCGAATCATCGTCGATCCACCGAGACAAGTTGTGCCTGAGGGAGAGCCCGCGCGCTTCAAGTGCACCACTCCTGGACACCCCAATTTGCCGCTATCGGTTGGTCGTTTTTAACAACAAACATACCGTAAACATTCTAATAGAAGAGCCGGCTCTTCTATTAGAATTAAACTTCTTTTTTGTCCCCTAGCTAGTATACCAAATTTTTTTCCTTTTTTTTCTTTTGAAACTTCATTCTTAATCTGAGGAATTACCATCGAAACAAAGCTTTTAAAAATCCAATATAAAACCTTTAGGAAGTATTTGAAAGGCTTGTTGAGAAAATGTAGAAAACTCTGATAACGAACTGATTGATTTTGCAGTGGACCAGACTCGGCGGCGGTGCTTTGCCGCCTGGCGCACAACAAATCGGCGGAATCTTGTACTTCCCACGAACATCACAGGGAGACGTTGGACAATATGTGTGCCAGGTAGAAATGTTTCCAACTTCTTTTAAAAGCAAAAACCAATCAAGGTAGATTATTTGATAATTTAAAATAATGATTTTATTAAATAAAATTGCATAAGCTGAAAGGTAAAATTTTGAAACTACATTTTTTTGAGGCTAACTTTTGTTTAGCAAAGCAGGACCACAAAGTTTCAATAATTCTTTTTTAAATTAAAGGATTCTTTTAAAAATTACCTGTAAGGACTAGATTGTAAAAGAATTTCTTTAATGACTTTGACAATTTTGAAACGCGAACTTTTTGATTATCCAAAATTTATGCAAGATTTTTTTAAAATTACCTGTAATGACTACATTGTTTTTATGATTTAAAATAAATTATTAAAAATCTAAATCACAAACTATTGATTCTTGAAATCCTTTCTAAACATCAATAAACTTGAAACAAAACTTTATCATTCTCAAAATTTTCTTCTAAAATGACGAATTAATGAATTTTTAGGCGATTTGCGTCTGGGTGAGTTAAAACTTTTCTTTTCTTTTGCTTATCTTTTAGACTCAAGTATCAAATTATTTGCTAACCTTTGAAACTCAAACTTTTTCAGACCCACAACCCGGCCACGAATCAACCGCTGATCTCGACGCCTGTTTCGTTGGAGCTGGAGAGAAGTGAGTTTCAAAAGTTTGATTTAAAGGACTTAAAAGATGTGGATTACTGTGGACACTGTGGATTACTGTAACTAGTCCTCTCAATTATCTCAAGGTCTCTCAATTATCTCAAGGTTAAATCGTTTTAAATCAAATTCTATTTAATTTTTTATTTCTAGGTTTCTTTTCGGACACTTTTCCCACAATTTGAAACACTCTTTTTATGATTGTTGAACACAAAACTTTGATTTTGACTGCATGATTTTTCAGCAAGATTTTCTTTTATTTCGCATTTTGAGTGAATGCATGGTGAATAGATGAATAGAGAATAATGCACTTTACTTGCAAAAGTTACTGTAGAAGGTTACTATAACTTTTTTTATAGCTTAAAATGAGAGAGTACTGTAGCCTTTCGCACCTTTTACCATTGCCGTTCAGTGTAGACACAACGGGAAGCTAGCTTAAGCTAAACACACTATGAAACACTGTACCCATCATTCTTTTCACTGCATGTACACGTTTCCCTTTCCGAACTTTCAGCGCAATCCCCACCACTCGTCGATCCGCCCGTGCAAACGGTTTGGGAGGGTTCACCCGCTCAAATCCGTTGCTGGATCCCCGGTGTTCCGAACGCGCAAATCGATTGGACTCGTGCAGACGGGCAACAGATAAATCAAAACTCCGAGCAACGAGACGGAACGCTGAAGATCTTCGAGTCGAAAATGTCGGACACTGGAGATTACCAGTGCACTGCCACCGATCCACGAACCGGTGTCCCGCAAAGGGCACCCATTGCACGTGTCAATGTTCGCCTCGAGACACAAAGTGGTTTTTTCAAGTTTTGAAATTATAGTATAGTTTTTAGCTTACTTCCACAGCATGATCACTTTTTTAAGATTTTATTTTAGGTTTCTATTTTAAGCATGACAATGACGAGAGTGAGCAATCCGTTCTCTAAAAGGCACCCCAATTTCAGACAAACTACCGTAATCAGCCCGTCATTTTTTATTCGATCAACCCAATTCTGGTCTCTTTGACTAAGCCTTGTGATTCCTTCATCGAATTTTACCAAAATTGAGCTAATCGAATGAAAAATAGAGGCCGGATTACGGTAGCTTTGGCAAAAATCGGTGCCTTTTTGAAAAATGGACCAGCTAGAGTTTCAAACTTATACAGTTCACAAATGGTGTTCCAAATACTCCATTAAAAAGTGGTTCAGCAAAAGCTATACTGAAAATACAAAAATCGTCAAAATTGCAAAGGCCTTTTCGTTAAAAACTTTGAAACATGGAATTGAATTCTCATTAGCTGACACTATGCACTGTTCACAAAAAATGAAACTAAGATAGTAAAATGAAATCAGCACGACTCTCTCATTAAATAATCAAAATTTTGAGCCAAACACTGAAACTTGAAACGTTTTTCGTCATTGTCATTAGATTGACTCAAAACGATTTCGTCGTTGAATATTTTGAAACATAGTTATTAATTGTTAGTTCTTGTGCATAAGAATCTTTCACTGAACATTCTTAAACATGACTACGACAGTTGTTTTTTCAAATAGGCTTCAAATTCAAATAGATTCTTTTATGTGTAAAAAATTGAATAGAAAAATCGTGGCTGGTGTTAGATACCGTAAATGCTGTATTAGAGTGACACCCCCTGAGCCCTCAAAATCTTGATTTTAGACCCCACCCTTGTGGGGGCTCTAAAGTCAAGATAAGCTTCAGTTTATGGATAGATCTAGGCCTAAAACCTACTAATATTTTATTATTGGGTTGATGCATAATTATCGTCTTTGGCTTATCTTTTGGAAGCTTTTGTCTTTTTCAATATTCGTTATTCTTTAGTGAACAAAATGCGTGTCGACAATCATATCCATCTTCGCCATATCATGCTCTACCACTTCGAAAAGGGATGGTCTGCCGCAGAGTCGTTTCGCGATCTCAAAGAACTGGGGAAGCCCCAACGGACTACCACGTCAATCGATCGCTCAAAAATTGGCAAACAAATAAGATCTACAACGATTTGGATGACTTGATAGACGATGTTAAAGCGTGGATTCCTCAAAGATCGTTTATTCTTCGCCGTGGAATCGATCGTCTTCAAGCAAATGGCAATCAGTTATTGATGTAGGCGGTGAATTGCTCCAGAATAATCAATTAAACTATTTTCTAACTATTTATGTTATTTTTTGTTAAATAAAATCATTTATAAAAGAAGTCCGGATAATTATGCTTCAACCCAATATTTAAAACGCTATTTTTGAAAAAAATGGGAAAATAATTTTTTGGAAAAAAAACATAAGGGTCCCGATTTTATTAATTGATTTTTCTTTTGGAGATTCAAAGGGGGTCACGGGGTAAGAGAATTTCAATAATTTCACTTTTAAATGTTTTTTGTACATTTTAGACAAAGGATCATCGTTCAAAATAGTTTTGAACAAATTCTAACGAATTTTTTTTGATTCATTTGCTCCCCCATTACCTACTTTTTTAATCGGTCGATTTTGTGGGGTTGAAAAATAGAATGACATATCATTCTAATAAAGCATTTACGGTAAGTTAAAACCTAAAAATTTTCAGGGTTTTTTAGGTAAAAGTTTCAAGTGTTCAAGTCAAAAAAAATATCAAGAAAGTGATGTGCAATTCGAAGTGCAACTTGACTGAAAAACCTAATATTTCTTTGATTAATAAGGTAAAAGAGCATGGCCAACTAATGGATTCAGCGCCGCTTTTGACTTGAACTCTTTGAAACACGAAAGTCGCACCATCGAAATTCTTTTCTAGATAATAGCAAAGTTCGATATTTAAGAATATAAGATTGTAAAAAAAGCTAAAAGAAAACAAATTTCTGGTAAATGGTAAATGCTTGGTAAATACTGATGTCCATTAAAAGGTTCATTTTAATTTTCCATTCCAATACTTTGAAACATCAAATTTTTCAGCGCCAGTTGCGCCGGTGGTTGACCCACCAGTGCAAACCGTTGACGAAGGAAAACAGTCCGAAGTGAGATGTTGGGTGCCCGGGCAACCCGATGCGCAAATCAGGTGGCAAATTTGGTTTCAAAGCTTTCAATTTCATTGTAAGCCCAAATAAAGCAGTTAGAAAACCCGATTTCAGGGCTAATCTTAAAAATTTTGATATTAAACCGAATAATTTTCTGAAGAAACTTTTAAGATCTTCAAAAAATCCTCTTGAAACTGGCTTAGTTTCAAAATTAGTGGTTATTCGGCGAAAAGCTGGGCAATAATAGACCCAATTCCTTTGGCATAATAACATAACGAAAACCAGTATATTCAGATGGATGAAGAACCAGCGAGATCCGCTTCCGCGACACGCCTACGAACGCGGCGGTGTGCTGACGATCCGGAACACGCAACAAGTGCGCTTTTATTTGCTTTTTATCTACCGTAATTACTGCAATAGTTCCCCACCTCCATGGGAGCGTGGTTCCAAATAGCCGGTGTTGAAGTAGTAACTACCGTAACTACTGCAATAGTACCCCGCTCCTTCGGAGCGTCGCGTAGTCTAAGTTTACTCTCAAATAAACGCTAATATCTCAGCCCCAATACGTTTGTTTCTGCGCACTTAGGTATCAAATTAAAGTAGAGAAAATGAGTGATTTTTTTGAGATATAAAATATATTATTAGCATTAACCAGCGCTTAGAAAAAAATCATTGAAAAATGAGAAAAAAAAAGCCGATTTTGCTGAGATATTAGCGTTTATTTGAGAGTAAACTTAGACTACGCGACGCTCCGAAGGAGCGGGGTACTATTGCAGTAGTTACGGTAGTTACTACTTCAACACCGGCTATTTGGAACCCCGAAATTTTAAAACACAAAACATGAACCCTTCAAGTCCATGAGTAAAATATGATCATATTACCGGAGGCACTACCATTATCTTTTGAACTCAAATTGCTCTAAATTTGAAACTCGACTTTTTCGTTACACAAACATTTAGTACTACTTAAGATTTCTGATGATATCGATACCGTTTTCAGTCTGATGCTGGCACGTACACCTGTATCGCCTCAGATCCGCAAGGCCGCAATCCACAAAACGTTCCAGCAATCATCAACGTCAATAGGCCTTGTGGGTTTAAAACAGGAAATCCATATTCATGATTTAACACATGAACTGAAACTGAACCAGATACAAATGAACCAGTTTCCCCATCAATTTTGAAACTTGCTTTTTCATTTAACAAATAACACTAATATCACTAATGGCATAACAATCCTGTCTAACTAACCAGTAATTAGGGACAGTTCCCATAACGGTACCGGATGAATCGGAGAAGTCAATTGGACCTGATGATCCCCAGCCCGAACCTGTGCCTGTACCAGGACCCATGCCCGCACCTAAACCATTACCTGAGCCAACACCTGTACCCGACTACTATCAACGACAAGACCCACAGCCTCACCCCAACGATCAGAACTATCAACCGGTACAGCATCCCTACAGTACCCCCTGCCCACCAGTTCAGCAAGAATATCAGGAATCCCATCCAAAGCCTGGTCATGATCCGATACAAGTCTACTACGAGCAATACTATCGATCGGATTGCACAACGGAGAGCCCGTTCGACTTGGATCAATGGCTGAACTGGTTGTTCATGGGAAATGACAATGGGAATGAAGAGAAAAAACCGATAGTTAAGTGTAAGAACGATGTCTGAAGCAATGTTTCAACTTTGCTGACTTCTCCAACTGCTGATACTTCTCAATTTATGCTGACTTTTTAAGGTCGCTTTCCAATACCAAAAGATTAACATTTATCGGCTTTAGAACAAATTAATTAGCTTATTAACAAAATAGATTACTTTTTTAAGGCGCCAAAATTAAGTTACTAACGTAAATGATGTTTCAAAATTGCTGGCTTCACTAATTGGCGCCATTTCTCGATCAATTGGCTAATCTATTGATATTGATATTGTCAAATTTGCTTCTAACAAAAAGAGTTTCAAAAACTATAATGATTTCAGGGATTCTATAATTAAGAAAACTTATAAACAAGAAAATTTACTAACAAAAGAGCTCATTTTTGCTTGAGATCATTGAGAGTAAGGACGATATTTGAAGCCATGTTTCAAATTTTATTAGTTCCCAAACTGAAGGCACTAGTCAATTGGCTGGATAGTTTGGTTTTTATTTTGACTTTTTCCAAAAACAATTCAAATCTAACAATTCAAAAAAGTTTTAGCGTTAGCTTCTAACAAACTAGGATATATTTTAACGGTTCAAAAAAATGATAGTTTCAAATTTGTGGACTTGCCCAAATGATGGCACTTCTCAATTACTCGCCTGTCTCTTCACTTTCAAATATCAAAAAAATTAGCATTTATCGAATCGGTTTTTATACAAAAATGAATTGAGATTACTAACAAAATGGGTTACAAAAGAAATTCTGAACTAAAGCTGTTTTTTAAGGGGTTTAGCTCATCAATTTATATGAAAAATTTCAAAGTGTCAAGGTGAAAGAAAATGCTTTTCAAATAAAAAAAAATGGTATTACGGTAATATTCTCCAAAACAAGATTAAGAAGAATAATCGAAATTTTTAGCATCACTTTGAAACTTACATTTTTTGCAAACAAATTTATTGTTGGCATTGTCGAAATGGATTCAAATACACCCCAAAAATTTTTGAAACACAAACTTTTTTAAGCAAAATCTAAGCGAAATTTTCCCTTCCAATTTTCAACTTTTTTGTACTTATTTCCCTTTGAAAGAGCACGAGTTTGCAGTTTTTTACAATCACACGTTTGTTTTTTTCTTGCAGTGGGCCCAATTGTGGTGAATGTCGATCCGAAGTATCAAGTGAGAACTGTTGGGGATCCCTTCTACATCAGATGCTGGGTGGACGGGCATCCGAATATTAAGGTTTGCCTTCGCACGGTTTGATCTGTTCTTTTCAAAATCCGTTTTCTAAATCAGGCTTCTTCCCTTTCTACCGTAATCTTCGCTCTCTTATTTATTTTTTATCCAATCTATCCACTTTTTGAGTGAGATTTCAAAGAAAAATATCGAAAAATACTAAAAAATGGATTGATTGGATGAAAAATGAGACAACATTACGGTAGAAAGAGAAAAGGGGACAGGGTTTAGGAAATGGATTAGAGGAGAGTCTCTAGTCTGGCACGGTTTGCCGTTTTTCAAAAAAACTCTAAAGTTTAAAGAAATCGGTTTCAAATAGCTCAGGGGTTAATTTGCTTTGAATGCAAGATTCATGTTTCAAAATTAGCACCATTCTCTAGATAAAGCAAAGGTTAATCATTGTGACCCTGCAAAACTGAAAAATAGTCGACAGTATCATAAATAAAAACATTACTCATCATCATTATTCAAGAACAAACGATTAACCTGAAATCTTCTAGTTTTAAAATAATTAAATGTTTAAAAATGATTCTTTTTTGATGCAATAAGCCAATCTTCTTTCTAAAAAGCACCCATTTCAGACAAACTACCGTAATTCACCGCCAGTTTTCATTCGATTAGCCAAATTTTGGTATCATTGACTGAGCTTTGTGATTTCTTTCAACGAATTTGCCCAAAATTGGACTAATCAAAAAATGGCAGCTGGATTACGGTAGTTTTGTCTGAGATTAGGAAATGGATTAGTTAAACGCGCTCTAGCCTAAATATTCTTGCTTGAAACCGATTTATTTGCATTTTCATAAAGTCTTCAAGTTGAGTTCCAAAATTTTCAAGGTCGACTGGAGAAAAGTGACTGGAGATTTGTCCGATGAAGCCGTTCAACAAAAGGGTGATCTGAAAGTGGAACGGTCAGAGATGGACGATGCTGGGGATTACATTTGCTCAGCGAAAGACCCGAACAGTGGAGAGATCGTCGACTCTGTGCCCGCAGCGGTTGTCATTGTGGACAACGAGTTGCCACCAGGTTTTGCACTTGTACCTTCTGCTCGCAAATCTCGTAAACGCCTCCTTTCTGGCGCACTCGATTCTTCTATTTCCTCTCGTGACATCAAGCCATTGCTGTGAGGGGAAAATAGAAGAATTGAGTTGGCTAGAAAGTTGTTTACAAGTTTTTTTGCGCACAACGTACACCAATCAAGTTTCAAAGATCTAGTGCACGTTTTGGAGTTAAGAGTGTTTCAGAAAAATGCACGAGAGTGTTCAAATTCGTTCTCTAATTATTGAAATCCAAAAATTTGCATCGATTTGCGGTGACACTTGTGAAAAATCCTGAAATTTAATCCATTTCACTATTCTAAATTGGAATCCTAAAGAAATTTGCTTTGGAAAAGCGCCTTTCAAAAGTAGTGCCTATAAATTCTCCTTCCGAGATCAAATCGAAGCCAAATTCAAGAATTCATTTAGGAAAAAAGTCAAAAGTTCAAATATCATATACAAAAAAGTTGCCATCATCATGTAGACCTTCAAAATCTAGCTAACAATAAGATTACTGTACTATTAATAATCAATAACAATAAGATTACTATAATATTTTGATAATCTTTTGAGACTTTCAGTAGACGAGGCCGTTGAGATCCACCCGCCATCACAGACGGTACCCGAGAAGTCTAGCGCCACGATCAGGTAAGAAAATTAAGCCCAAATTTTATTTTTAAAAGATACAACATAAGAATTACTTTAAGAAGCTTGTTAACAAGTTTTCTCCTTTAAAAAAGCTCGTTTCAAGCTAGTCGGCTAGGTGAAAGAAACTTGACTTCACATCAAATGAATTCGTAGTTCTAACTCCTAAATTTTTTATTTTTTTTTCAGATGCTTCGTTCCCGGCAACCCTGATGCAAAATTGTCATTCAAACGTGTTGATGGAGAGCCGGTTTCATCAGAAAGCGATGAGAACCAAGGAGTGCTCACGTTTAGAACGACTTCCTTGGTGAGTGATTAAATTGCAAAATAAATGTTTCAAAGTTGTTAAGATTTGAACCAGAAATGTTCAAGCAATCGTTTTTTCTTAAGTAATACGGAAATCTAAAATGAAAATTGACAAATTCCAGTCTGACACCGGTGACTACGTGTGCGTCTATCATCCCGACGACGGTCGTCCACCGAAACAATCGACCGTCTCAAAGTTGATCGTTACATCCGGTAAGTGATTTATTAAGTATTTTTATTTTAATGAAATTCTTCAAATTCTCCCAAACCCTTCAAAAATCCTTAAACCGAACTAACTCATTGTTTTTTGTTTTAAAAATTCAAGTTTCAAATCTAATGACTGGTGAGAACGAGCGAAAATCTCAATTCATATCCTCTTGTCCTTTGTGCTCTCCCAAACCTGTCTACACTTCCTTTCTAGCGCATTCAATTCTTCCATTTTCCCCACACAGCAACGATTTGTTGTCACGAAGGAAAATAGAATAATTAAGTGCACCAGAAAATGGGGTGTTTATTGGATTTAAGTATAAAGTACACGCAAGAAACTGTTTCATTGCTTCGCCACATTTTCCGCCCGCTATCCTACTTTTGATACAGTATCCTGTATCAAACTAAAACCCTATATAACACATTTTTGTTTATTTCAACCCTATCCTGTACCCTTTCCTATCAGACTGTATTTCTTTTGCGAAATCTGTTTCCTAGAAAAACTCAACTCCAGACAAGCTACCGTAATCTGCCTAATTACTAAAAAATCGCGGGTGGATTACGGTAGTTTGTCTGGTATTGAGTGTTTTTCTAGGAAATGGACTAGCGGAAAACTCTGTTCCTGTCCCTCTTTCCCTATCCTTTCATTTCAGCTGGCACTCCACCCCGCCCCGAGGCTACTCCACCACTTCTCATCGTTCCACCCGGTGCTCCAGCTCGTTTCCATTGCAATCCAAACTCGAACACCCCAGCCAAAGTGAAATGGGGTTATGGATCAGCTGATGGACCACTTCGAGGCGATGTGCAACAAGATGGCGATGACTTGGTGATCAATTCGGCTGACGAATCACTTGTTGGCAAATACGTGTGCTCGGCCACAAACGATTTCGGAAGAGGCGAAGCTCCACCAGTTGAACTGAAAATTTCCGATGGTTTGTTTGAAAACAAGTGTATTGAGGGGAATTCTATCTGTGATGTTTGAAAGATCGTGACACAAAAGATCTCTGCTCAAGTTTCAACCTAAACAAGGTGTAGCGAGTGTTTGGACCTTTAAATAGTGATGCATTTGAATAGTCTGCTATTTAGTGACTAAGTATAAGCATTTCTATCGCCCCAATACACTTGTATAGTATGGATTTTTGCTGTTTTCCAAAACCTCTATTCAAATATTCAAAGTTCTGTCTTTTCAACTGTCGGCACCGATTATCCTTTAGCTTTCAAAGAATTGCATTTTACCCTGAAAACGTAGAAAGTTTCAAAAGGATTAACTTCAGAAAGTCTTCTAATGATTTAATTCCTTCTGAATAGCTATTTTTAAAAAAATTCAAGGTTTTTCACAAAAAATTATATGTAAATTAGCTAAGTTTACGAGTGGTTAAGCTAAAATTTCAAAATGAAACATTTTCTACAATTTTTGACTTTGACTAGTTCAAAGTTGAAACGATGTTTCAAATTCTCACCTTAAATCAGGATGCCCTGAACTTTAATTCTACCAAAAGCTTGGCTCGAAATTTTCCCGCAAATAAGCCAAAAGTTGAGAGGTATTGCAATCCATATTGTGAAATCGAAAAATTTCCCCGCAAGGTTAAAAGCTTCGAATTTCTAGAATTTTCTCTATACAGGGTGTCCAAAGAAAAAAGTAACTTTGTGTCGAATTTCTAAAAAACTTTAACTGGCTCAAAGTGGTAGGAGATATCATCATACTACGACACTACGATCCCAGTAGAAAGTTTTAATTTTATGGCAAAAGCTTTTGGTAGGAGGTATCATTTTTGCCATCATACCTCCTACCAAAAGCAATTTTTTTGCGGTCGCAAATTTTTGATATCTTGTCATGATTTTTACCATATCATGGTCATCACCATCATGCGATTTTTTTTGCCATAAAACTAAAACTTTCTACCGGCATCTTAGTGCATAATAAACACTATTAGGATAGCTACAAATTTAAACCATACACTTTATTGATTAGGGTTTCCTTGGAAAAGCGAGACAATTCTTTTAAAAATAGGTGAGTTAAAAACCTCTTATGAACGACAGATTATCATATAATGTAGTTGCATGTAAAGTGTTTGGCTAAAACCTTAGTTTATATACTAACCTCTAATATGACACTACGATCCAAGTAGAAATTTTTAATTTTATGGCAAAAATCTCATGGTGATGGCCATGGTATGGGAAAGTTCTTATATAAAGGATCATGATATGATAAAAACCATGACAAGATATCAAAAAATTGCTTTTACACCATGTCTCCCTACCACTTTAAGCCAATTAAAGTTTTTTAGAAATTTAACACAAAGTGACTTTTTTTTTTGGACACCCTGTAGTTGCAACAGAAAATCGGATTCTTGTTTTTGAATAGCTTTCTGAAAATGAGCTATTTTCTTCAATTACTGGCTTAATTATCCACTTTCCAGAAGAGCAACCACCAACGGCGAAAGTCGTCCCACGAACGTGGATCGGCAAACCGCATGACCGCCATCAATTCGACTGTATCGTCACCGGAGTACCGACACCAACAGTGCGTTTTAAAAAAAAGCTGAAAAAGACAGTCCGCAATTGTACAGTTTACGGTACAATGGCGATCACTGTGATTGTAGTTTAACAAAAAAATACTGGCTGAAACACTTGTAGCCTGATTGTGGGACATTTGATGCTCTTCCCGCCCCCTTTGCCATTGGCAATTCAACTTTGAGCTCATAGATCTTGGTGTTGAGCCGTTCAATTTAAATAGTTTTTGTATTAATTGATAGAGAAAGACTTGATGCATCCAATGATATCAAGAACATTTAACTTGAACAGATCAAAGCCAAGATATTTGAGCTCAAAGTTCGATTGCTAATGGCAAAAGGTATCAAATTCCCGATGACCTTTTTGATTCGATAAAGTCTAGTTAGAAAAATTTGCAACTCTAAAAATTACACCCACCTAGAACAAAATAGTGACGGGTTTCGAGCTAAACTTTGCATTTATGCAAATCATTCATTTTTTTGGCAGTAAAGGGACAAAGTTTGGAACAAATCCTAACTTAATTGCCCCAAAAAAGCTGGAAAAGTCCTTGTTTTGATTGAAAAGCAAAACAAAAACAAAGTTGAGATTTATAGTTTAAAAAACTATAAACCCAAAGGAGTCTTCAATTTTCAGGTGACATGGACTGGCCCTAATGGAGCCCCATTGGCGCACGATGTGACCCAATTGGATGACAACAAGCTCGACTTTGCTGATGGACGATCGGAGTTGAATGGAGACTACACGTGCACGGCCAAGAACTCGGTTGGAAATTAGAATTTGAAATTCAAGTTATTTTAACTTGAATTGAATGCGCCAACAAGTTGAATAACAAAGCGAGCGGATAGATTTTTGAGTTTCAAATTGAAAAGCCTCAAAATTAGCGCAGACTTCAGCTTTTCAATGGCCGTTAGTTTTACTTATAAGAGTCAGCAAATTTTTGATATCTTTTTAAAAAGATTACTTCAAAAAATATGGCATGATCAGAAAGATACACTCAGCAAAAAAAAAAACAAAAAAAACTAGGGTGGAATTCTGCTTTGAAACAGGCTTAACTTTAAAACTCGCAAATTTTGTAAGGCTTTCTAGATTTAGGCTTTAAATGGAGAAATTTAGTTAATTTAAGCTTTAAATAGAGTTTTTTAAACTTTAGCTACGTTTTACTACGCTCGCGTGGGTGAAATATAAAATCCTACAAACCCTTCTGATTCCTTAAACATTTGATAATATGAAATTAATGTGGAAACTTGCAAGATTGCTGAAATAAAAGTGAAACCTAAGAGTCTAAAGAGTTAATCGCTTCAATTTCAGGTTGGCGAAGCGCAAGACCACGGCTCGGTGCTGATCGGTCCCACACTTCACGTGATCACCGATCCACCAGGTGGGCTAATTTGTAGATATAATAAGACTGTAGACGAAGACTGTCATCAAACAAACTATCAGCGTACTCTTTTAAGTCGAACAATAATCATCTTAAAAACTTGAAAACTTGCAGAGTAAACTGATCTATTTAGTCTAATCTCTAGCTTGTCTATCCTAAAGCGCCTTTAAAACGCTTCGTTGGGCTTATTTAGATGTCAAAAAGCTTAAAAGTTATATGAATTTCTCGCCGAATTAAGTATGAGTTACTTATTTAATCATTTTCAGGCCCAAGAATCGTCGTTGGTACCGGTGAACCAATCCGCATCAAATGTATGGCCGTCGGAGCGCCAGGAGATCCGGAGCCTGAGGTTTGTTGGGATTAGTTTTTCATTCGATATTATCCCGCCCCCTTGATTTACCCTATTCTTCAAAGCACTTCTTTCTCTACGATGAAACATTTAAATTTCGTTCTAAATGTTCTAAATTTCGTTTAAATTTCGTTCTAAATACTAAATGTTTTAAATGCTTCAAAATTTTAGTGTTTTAAGTAATTAGCAAAGAAATGCTAAAGAAACAGATCTTTGATTTGAAAAAGTTGACCAATTAAATGCCCTAATTGCAATTCTTTGAATCAATTAGATCTTGTCTAAGATGAAACATTTAAATCCCAACCTTGAGCCAACCTTTTGAAACATTCTTATCTGCTTGAAATCCAGATTAACAAATCAAAATCAAATCGAAAACAGTTTTTTCCCTTGTCTTGGGCTAAAATTGCCGTCAAATTCAGTTTTTAATTTGAAATTTCAATTCTAAAGCCCGGAAATAGCTTTTACTAACTAGGGTTCAAGCGAGCATTCAAACCCCGATAAACATTGAAACTTAAAAGTTCCTTACTGCTAAGAATGGAAGCTAAAATTTAAAATTGCTAATGTATCTATAATTTCTACCATTGAATGCCAAACTTTTGCTTTTTCAGGTGGAATGGTTGCACGATCCGGGACCGGAGCGAGGCGATTTACCGGACGATTTCGTGCCAATCACCATCTCCGAACAGTACATCCACCACCCATCGATTGGACTCGGAAACGCGGGAACGTACACTTGCAAGGGATCAAACGCTGTCGCCACCGCTACAAGGAATATCTACATTGAGGGTTGGTGAAAGTTTTTTGATGAGGAATCATTGTTTAAAAGTTACGCACCTTTTATTTAATTAGGTTGAAACTGAGATTGTTGGCTAGGCGTTTAAACGGACTACGTCGAATTGTTCGAAGGCTTTAAAGCTTGTATTTAACTAGATTGAAACTAGGTAATTTTTTCAATGATTGAAAAATTTCTACAATAAAATTGGTTAGTAAAATTTTGAGGATCGGTGCAATTTTATAGATGCTTGTGTGATGCAGCTCGTTGACTGCTATTTAATTGAACATTTAGCAATTAACTAAGTTGAAACTAGGTAATTTTTACTGGATTCTGTCTTTGTGAATTTTTAGCTACTGAAAATTCATTGGATTATTCAAAAAGCTTCGAATCTTGAGCTAATTTGAAACTGAACATTTTATACACAAATTAGAATTTAATTTAAAGCATATATTATTTTAAAATTTAAAAACTAGGCCTTTATATCGAATTAGATTTCAATTTTACCTTCTCACCTGAGTAATAATGAAACTTCGACTTTCAAAACTGAAATTTTTAGTCCAAAGCGCCTTTTGGTATCAGGGAAATGCGACGGATTGTAAGCTTTTTACAAAAAAAAAGAATAAGTTTCCCTTTTTGTCTGAAAGCTTCTACCTTCTACATTTCCCATTTTTTACGATTTTCAATGAAAATACAAGCTTCTGAAACTCGAAATTGCAAAAAAAACCCAAAAATTGCAGCCCCACAACCAGCTCAAGGTGAAAATTTGTAAAAATTCTTCAATTTTCTCAAAAAAAGCGCGAATTTTCTACCAGCTTTCTGTCAAAAATTTCAATTTTTTAAATTTTATTTTCAAATTTCCATGTTTCATTTTATCGCTTTTTTTTAAACTGTTTTCGAATTTTTCAATTTTCCCCATTTTTCTAACATTTCAGATAAAGGATACTCGCAAAATTCGTGGCAACAGACGACTCCAAGTACTTTTTTCATACTGTAATGCAAATTTTGGTTCGTAAAGATATTCAGTTAATCAAAAAAATTGACTCAACCTTTTTGTACTTGAGGAATCTTGAGCTTTTTAATAGCTTGAGTCAGTCTCTTTTTTTGTGTGCAGAATTCTGATCAAAAAGTGAAACCTTGTACATTTTTAGCCTTGAATCTAAATGAAAATGAAATTTCATGAAAAACTTGTCGGAAGCTTTACAAATTGCTTTTTAAGCTTTACAAATTATTCTGAATTCATTGATTTCCCAGAGCTTTCCTGCTACTTAAAAATCTTGAAACCTACGTATTCAATAAGGCGCAATCTTGGATCGGAATCCTTTTCGAAACTTTGAAACACACTACTTTTATTCCAAAACAACTTTTTATTACTTTTGAAAAAGTTATTTCTCTTCAAGGTATTAAATTTCTAGATCTTCCGTGATACTTCAACATTTTGAAACATCACTCTTATTCTTTGCTAAGTACTTTATGCAAAAAAAGACGAAAATTGTCTCAAAATGTCTCAAAAATGTTTTAAATCCTTTAAAACAAACCAATTTTGATCCAATTTACTTTTTATAACTTCTCCAAGCTATCAAAAACTTCGAAGCACTCTTTTTAAGTCACCAAGTTAGATAAAAACTACCTACCTCAATAATCAATGGGGAATATCAATACATTTTGATCTCATCGAGCAAACTAACAAAAATTGTTTTGAAAGCCCTTCTCTAGGGCTTGAATAAGTTGAAAGCTTGTAGTGACATGGAGATCGACGCTGCCCACACTGACGTCAACAACAACTAGTGAAACAGGTCCCTCATTGATTTTGGCTTTTTTCTTCTTCTTCTTGAGCCTAGCATTTCATCCCATTTTAGTGGTCACTTTGACACCGTCACCACCCCCACCCCCACCAGCAACAACTCCTGAACCGGGTACCATAGCTTCTAGTTGAGTAGTGCGGTTTTATGGCAATTGTACAGTAGCCTAGTTTCTTATCCTTGCGCATTCTAGAGAAATGGAACCCACCACCACCGTCAACGCCAAGACCATTCCCATGGTGGACCACGACACCTTGTCCGACACCCCCACCCCCCTCAGGACCAATTCCAGAACCAATCCCAGTGTCAGGCCCAATCCTATGCCCATGTTGGCTGACCAACAGCCCACTACCGGCAATCTATTATTTTCAACACCAGCAAAAGCCGAATGTGGTTGGACCGATTTCCAGCGGTTACGGTAGAAAAAAGGGACTCTTTAGGAAAATCTGTACTTTTTCAGCAAATCACAATCAACAGCCAGGGAATAATGGTAGATTTGCTTGGGGTTTTTACTTTTCATTTTTCATAAGCTAAACCGAAATAACCGAACCCATTAATTTTCCGACTGCCTCCCAGCCACCTAATACATTGAAACATACACTTTTTTCCCATTCAAAGCTCAGCTTTTCACTATTTGTTTCTAAAGACAACATTTCAAACAATTGACTTTCAGCAAAACAAAAAACCTTTTCAATTATTTGCTTTTCTCGACTTTTTGGCTGCCCAACTTTTTACTCATCTTCTTGAAAGCTGTCTATTTTCCCTTTAAACATCAATTCGTTCAGGTAATCAATACCACAATTCACGCTACATTCACATTCCGTATTATCGGGGTAATCATTTTAAAAAGTCGGCTTGTTTCGAAAGTGTGAAATAAAATTTGAGACTTGTACTTTGTAAAGTAAACCTTTCAGTCGGCTCCGATACGCCCTCATCGTTTGGAGGTAAATTCTTTTGATCCATAAACTTTCCCTTCTTTGCCATAGTCTTTTCCTTTACTCGATCCATTAAAATCTTCTTTTCACTTGCTTTCACTTGAAAACTTGAAACTAGATTTTTCAGTTGGTAACGATGTACATATTCCGTACTCGAGCCACTCCAGTTCCTCCTCATCATCATCGGGTAATAACTGGTGGAATTTCAGTGGTTTATCCAAAATTTGCATCGACTATTAATCTGAAATACGGTAGTTTATCCACTTTTTGATTGATTTGGAATTTGGATTACGGTAACTTATCGAACTGTTCAGATTTGAACGCGGCCCACGATCGGGCGGTGAACCAAGGTGGGTTTTGTAAAGAATTGTTTCAAACTTCTCCAGTCATTTTTTGCATAGCGAAACTTTAATTCTTCCTTTTTTTCAGATTTATTCATTTTTCCACATTTACCTGATTGTACTCACCTTCTAGTCCGTTTTCTAAAAAGCACCCATTTCAGCCAAAACTACCGTAATCCATCCACAAGTTTTCATTCGATTAGCCCAATCTTGGTCACATTCGATAAGGGGAATTACAAGGCTCCGTCAATGATACCAAAATTGGGCTGACCGAATGATAAATGTCGGCCGGATCACGAGAGTTTTGGCTGAAAGCTAGGCGCCTTTTAGAAAAGGGGAGAACCAAAAAGTTGAATGTTTCAAGTTATTCAAATCAAAATCAAGAAAACACCTTTCAATTGAGAAGGCGCTCCAACAAAATTTCCTTTTCTATTTCTCTACTCAAATTCTCTTTTTCTTTCTCAAATTTTTCACTTTTCTGAAACATTCTTGATAATTTACACAAAAAAAAAAAATTTTAGCTGTTGGACCACCGTGACAAAAAGGGCTAACGCTGCAGTTCATCGAGAAAACAGCTCAAAAATGTTGAAAATTGTCTAATTTTCGTTAAAAATTCGTGTTTCAAAAAGCAATTTGTGATTTTTTTGTTTTTTTCATTGTTTTCCTTTGTCTTTCACTTTTTGTTCTCAAAAATCCCGTTCTCGAGTACAAATTTGACTCTAATTACCCACCAGTTTTCCTTTTCTTGGCTCAATTCGATCTTTCATTTGTTTCTTTTTTATCAAATCTCAATTTTAAGCAAAGCAAAGCGAAAACTTCAACTTTCAGCGCTTGTCTAAAAAGCAATTGTCTGTTCGAGTCAAAAATTGATATATTTTTGAAACTTTTGAAGGATCTAATCAAATGTTCCGTAATACTGGAGGTCACACTGTAATATCCAATAAAAATTAGATTGTTATCTCGAAGATTTAAACCTTTATGAAATGGGTCGCTTAAATTGAAACTAGAGATTTCAAATTACACAGATTGTTCAGTTTCAACCTAGTCGAGTACAAGGCACTCAAGTTTCGGATAGTTCAAGATACTTTTCGAAATGTACTCGCAATCGGTACTCAAAAATGCAAATACACAGCATCAAGCATGCTAATTTTGCTTCAATTCTCAAATTTTCAGTCGTCGAACCGTCAAAGATCGCAACGGTGTCCGTTTTGGGCGGCTCAGTGCAATTGTTTGATTTGGGTGAGCCGGGCGAGGTGACTTGTGCAGCCACTGGAACAAATTTGGTCGACAGACTCGAGTGGACCAAGGTGAGTACGAAAAAATCATACTTGCCGGTTAGATTATTCATTTTTATGCAAATTACAAGTCTTACAAATAGATTCGATCAGTGAAATGGGTTTTGAAAATAGTATGTTTCAAGTTTTTTGAAGTGTAGCTGACTTTTAAGACTCTAGTTCACGTGGGCATCGTGGTTTTAATATTACATATTTAATGTTAATATTACATTTAATAATATAATAATATAATAATAATAAATAATATTAATATTATAAAATTATATTTTGCATTTGTCTAATAAATAACAAAACAGAATTGGAGGAAACTCGACCTACGTAAAGCTGCCGAAATTGAAGCGAAAAATTTTGAGCAGTTTACAGTTTAGAAAGTTAGAGCAGTTTACAAAGTAACTAGTAACTTCGTTTCAACTTCAAGCTATCAAAAATTATTGATAAAAATTACAACTCTAGAAAATTGAAATTATTTTGCCAGCTGGAAAGGAATTAAAGAAATGAAAGTAGAGTGCACCCGAAGAAATTTGAAACATTGAAAATAAATTTCAGCCAGTAGAGTGTGATTTTTTTGAAATTGCGTTTTTAAATGACATGTAAAATAGTTTTAAATGGAAATTTTCTAAAAACTAGCTGAAGACCAAATTTTGCAGGTAAACGATCAACTCCCGCAAGATGTCGAGGAGCACAACGAGCAGGGCGTCCTCCACTTCCCGTCATTCAAACAATCGTACACCGGCGAGTACGAGTGCCGGTTGGTTTTGTAAAAAGGGCATATTAGATTTAAACTAAAATAAAAGCACGCTTTAAATCAACGAGCTACTTTAATTTTTGAAACAATTTTCATTTCCAGTGGATACCGCGGAACCGAGCTGATCGCGTCGGCCATCGTTGAAGTCCATGCCAGCAATGAGGACGTTGAGGAGCCGAGAGTCAGTGAAAACCTCGTGTACTTTGTGCCCTCAAACCCCGTAAACAATTCCTTTCTGGCGCACTCAATTCTTTCATTTTTCCGTGACATCCAAAGATTTCTAATACAGACAGTTTTTTCAAGTGTAACCGACTTCCAGACACTAGTTCATGTGCTGTAAGGAGTTCATTATAGTTCTGCAGTTCACTGTAGTTCATTATAATCCACCGAAGAGTTCATCTAATGTAAAAACACCAAATCTGGCGCAGCAATGAGAATCCTGAGTGCTATTTAGTGCGCCTGAAAGCGGGTATTTGTCGGATTTTGAGAGCACAAAATAAAAAATTATATGAAGCGAAGACCATCAATCCGGAATCATTGTGGAAATACTTGGTCAACTGTGATGCTTGATTTTGAAACTCAACTTCGCAAGTTGACGTTTAGCACTAGTAAAAGTTAGCCTTAAGTGTTCGGGCTTTCGGAATTGAATATTAAAAAGATACAGATTACATTTTCTTATCAATTTCCCTATTTCAGGTCACAATCGATCCACCACGCGTCCGGGTTGTCGCCCAAGGTGACTCCATCGTACTCAACTGTGCCGTTGAAGGTTGGGAAAAGTTTTAGAGCCAGAATTTCGAAATTATTGTCAAAAAACTAACAAATGTCCTATTTTTTCTAATCAATTGCTTTACAAGGCTACTCGAAAGAGGCAAAATTCTAACTTTACAGTATCCATTGATCATTTTTGAATGTCTTTTTTACTAACAGCATGCTTTGTTGTGAAGGTTTTCTGTTGAAAACTTTGCGTTTCAACTTAATCAATAATGGACAAGAAAGATTCGTTTTAATTCTTTTTGCATGTTTGGCCTTTTTTTTGCATTTCTTTTATAGCACCCATTAACCCGCACCGACCGCCCGAGATTCTCTGGTTTCACTCGCTGAACGGCCTGCAGACGAGAGTCGTCTCCACCGATCAATACATTCACATTGGAGCGATTAGGTGTGAAATAGTCAGCAATTAAAAATCAGTTAACAATCAATTAACAATCCGTTTCCTAAAACGTGTCTCCATTCCCCTTTCTACCGTAATCTTGGCTCTATTTCTTATCCAATCTATCTACTTTTTGTATCTTTCGATATCTTTAGTGAACCCTCACAGAATCCGAAAAAAAGTGGATAGATTGGATAAGAAATAGAGACAAGATTACGGTAGAAAGGGGAAAGGGGACACGTTTTGGGGAAACAGTTAGACCATCACTTGCCTATAATCTTAATAATCGATTTAAAAATGAGTCACGTGAAATCGAAAAAACGATATTCAATATAACTTCTAGAACTCGCATTAAAGGCTAGTTTAATGACTATCGGAGTTGGAGAAAAATGATAAAAAAATCATTATCTTGTAGTTAAATGTTGCAGTTAAAGGTTTAATAACTTCTGAGCTTCTATTTTTTAATAATTTTACTAATCAATGCATGTTTACATCATTTTAAACACCATTCCCAGTTTGGAGCAACGCGGGCTCTTCTGGTGTCAAGTGGGGGACGAGGACGAGATGAGGCGGCCAACGATGGTCATCGTGCTACCGACTGGATTTTGTGGTGTGTGCATGCTTTTTATTAACAAGATTCAAGAAATGATGAAATTTTTTATTTTATTTGCAAAACTAGGGTCGCTTTAGGAGGTTTAATTGTGTACAGAGCGAGTGTAAAGGTCGGTCAAGGTTGGAAACAAGTCCAGGAGCTAGCTGATCCAATGCTGAGCCTAAAATTAAACAGTAACTAGGTGAAATTGAAAATTTGTTGCATTAAAAGTACTTCTAATGAAAGAACTGTTAGAATTTTCAATATTTGAATCAAAAAAAAAATTGAGTTTCAAAGTTGTTATTGTGGTGAGCTAGTGAAATATATCAATGTCCTGTCGGAATATCATTGCGATGTAAAAGCTGGGAGATAGGAAATCAGTAGGAAAGGTGATAAGATTGAATATGTTCAAGGTGAAATTTTTAAAATTTCGCATCTCGCTATCACTTAGCCAAAAGCTAACCAACCGGCACGTGGTTTTTGCTTAAATTTTTTGAAACACAGGATTTTTTTTTTGCTTTTGCTTGCGTTTGGACATTTTTTTGACTAACTTTAACATTTTGCATATTTTTATTAGTGTTCTTATGAATTTTTTTTCTACAATTTATTTACTTTCTCGATTTTGAAACACATTTAGTAACACTGCACGTTTTTAATTTTTTGCTTTTAATTCATTTTTGTGCTGCACTTAAAATTCACTAACTTTTGTTTGATGTGCTAATATTTTTGTGGATTTTTGGACTAATTCCTAAATTTTTTTCAAACAAATCGATTCTACTGAGCAGTGGGGAATCATGTAAACTTAAGCAACAACGATTCAACCATCACTCAGCTCTTGAATAAGATGAAACAAGAAGTTTTTGGCAATAACTTTTCATTTACCTATTTGGATTTGATTTACAATAATGGGAATTGAGTGTTAGACTTTAAAAAGTTGCGCTGAGGTTAATGTAGAATAATATATCTGTCGCATAACAGTATTTTAAGATAAAAAGTATTCAACCGACGTCAAAAAGCAAGTCACAAGTTGAGCGGGGTCAGATTACTGTAGCTTGGGCACTTTTTAGAGAATCGATTTGTTTGTACTGTACAAATACTGTACTTGATCAATTTCTAAATTCTGAATATTTTACCGAAATCTTTCTTTTCCAGGAGCCAAGGCCAGCGAGCACTTCGAGTGGGCTCTCCTCCGCGGCGGTTCCCTTATTAGAAAACTCGGAAATCAGCCAAAACTGACGATCCCCAAGGCCGACCCGACGAACGATTATGGAGTGTATCGATGCAACGTTGAAGACGATAATGGACTCGTTGTCGGATCGGCATTCGCTGCAGTCACGATTGGATACAGCTCGGATAAGAGTGCGCAGAAAATTTGATTCTTGTGTACTTTGAGCTCTCAAATTGCGTGAAGAATTCCTTCCTGGTGCACTCAATTCTTCCAATTTCCCCTCGCTGCTGTGAGGGGCAAATGAAAGACTTGAGTGCGTTAGAGAGGAGTTGTTTAGAAGTTTTGAGAGGACAAAGTACAACAAGGCTTAAAGGACAGTAAGGACAGTACGAGATTATTGTGTGAACGTATACGAGAGTATTCTTAATCTTTGCAAATCTTATAAAAACTTTGTTAATTTATTCAAAATTCACAATTTTAAATCGGGTAACTAAACCGCATTTGTTTAAGCGAAAAGAACTTTTGAAAAGATCAATTTCAATGTTTTTGGCTATTAGATAATAAATATGAATAAGGGAAAGTGGAAAATAATACATACCGTAAATACTGTAATAGTACCCCACCCCCATAATGACGGTGCGGAGTGTTGCGTAGTCTAGCTTTGAACAAGTTTTTCTCGACACTGGTTTATGCTACAATGCGCGCTTAGGTATCAAAAAATAGCCCCGAATTTCAGCTATTTTTTGATACCAAAGACGCATTTTTTGAAAGTACGGGTGCTTTGAAAAAAATGAAATACTAAAAAACTTTTGCGACTACGCGACTGTACGAGGGGGGTGGGGTACTATTACAGTATTTACGGTAGAATCATTTAAAAACAAATTTGCTCTGATTCCTTTTGAATAAAAGATCACTTTAGATCCCGAAGAGCTGAAATTTGACGAGAAAGCCGACGCCACGTTGACTTGTCCAGTTTTCACGGTGCCCGGCTCGAAGGTTGGAAATTTTTTTTCAAATTTCCCGTCAATATAGTGCTGAGTAGCTAAATAGCTGAATATTCTTCAATTTTTAGTTAAAGCATTCGGAGTTTTGGCTTTGTTTGGCACTAGCTTTTAGCCGGCTCAAAAGTGATACTTCAACTTGAAACTTGAATTTCCACCTGTTGAACTCATCAAATCAAATCAAAACGATCAAAAACATCAATTCAATTTTCCAAGTAGTATTTACAAATTTTCAACCTTCAATCTCCTTTCTATTTTTCATTCTACAATTAAATTCGATCGATTAGCAAGGCTAGTTTCAATCCGAGTCCCTAGAAGAGTTGACAAAATGAGGAAGTCCCTCTTTTCTTTTTTTGAGTGCTTCTGAATCTAGAATTACAGCCAGCTGTATTCGATCTAACTATAGAATTTTGATAAGGCTTCTACAAAATTCACACTTTCTTCAAATTTCCAACTTTTTCCAGGTGGAATGGTCACGCAAAGACGGCGAGCTCCCCTCGAATGCGGTGCCGATGGGAAACAAGTTGGAGTGAGTTGTAAAAATTTATCTTTCAATCTTTCAAGTCAGTTATAGCGTTTCTAATAATTTTCGTAGTTAGCATTTAAAAATAATTTCACAAAATAAACGAAATGTACTCAATTCTAATTCCCTGAGCTTTAAAATTTCACAAATGAACTGCAAAGTTTCAAATTTACTTATTAAAAGTCATTAAAGTCATTGAAAGTTAAAAGTTTATTGTGGCGGCTCTAATGTTTTATATTTATGAAATATTACCGTCGATTCTTTCTTTCAGAATCAAAGACTTCAACGACGACTCGGCCGGGCTCTACGTGTGCAAGGTGAACGTCGAGAATCAAGTGGTCGAGGGATATGTCGATGCGAAGATCTTTGGTTTGTTTCAAATTTACACTAAAAGTTTAAGCTGGATGAATAAGCTGGATGAATAAGCTGGATGCTTTTTAAGCTGGATGCTTTTTAAGCTGGATGCTTTTTAAGCTGGATGCTTTTTAAGCTGGATGCTTTTTAAGCTGGATGCTTTTTAAGCTGGATGCTTTTTAAGCTGGATGCTTTTTAAGCTGGATGCTTTTTAAGCTGGATGCTTTTTGTAAACCCACCACTTAGTACTTAAACTTGAAACATTTCATAAAAAGAAGTGGCTTTTAAAATATATTGATTTTTAAAAGACTTTGCTTCATTTTAAATTTAAATCAAATTCGTATTTCCTCTCCTCTAATCATTAGTTTCCTGGACAAGAATTCAAGAATCCAAAAATTCTTTTGTGAATCCTCACAGGATCAGATAAAAAGATTGGATAAAATTTAGAGACAAGATTACAGTAGAAAAGGGAAACTGATTAGGGGGAATGCAATGCATTCATTTCTTGAATTCCAGTGCCCGACACGATCATCCAAGTGATGTTGGAGACCTCGTCGGATAGTGTCAACATCGGCGAGAGGGTTTGGTTCGATTGCAAGGTGAGACCAAAAAAAAATACTGCAAAATGGTGAAGGAAGATCACTTTCACTATTAGCCTGACAACTTCTTAAGATCAAGGGGAAAACTTTGAAACATAAGTTTTTGACTAAAAGTTAGTAATTGTTTTAAAGTTAATATAAAACTGAGCTTTAAAAAACGGTAGGATAAGGTAAAATACCGTAGTAACAAAATCATTTGAAACAATCCACGTTCACAAGTTTCAACTTTGAAAACTACAAGCATGTTTTGTCACTCCAATTTGATTGACGTCAGCAAAACTGATTCAAATGCATTTCAACATTCAAGCAAAGCAAAGCTTCAACAAGAAAAGTAAAAATTCCCAGGTGACCGGAGACGACACTGCGACGATATCGTGGGTCCGTGAGGGAGCCGACTCGTTGCCCGACAATGCTCAGGTGATTTGAAAAAGTTGAAAACGAAAATGAGGTATAGAGTTGAGGGATAAGAGCAGTCTCTAAGTTGTACTAAGGATTTTTCGGCTATTCAATCATAACTTATTAACCTACTCTTAGGAAAATTGGCTTGGCCTGACTTGAAACTTTCAGTCAAAAAGTTCTTTCGAAAACAAACTACTCAAATTTTGCTTTCAAACTTTCAAACTTAATGGCTATCGAAAGCTTTTCAAAGACGTAATTTCTTGTAATTCTACCGTGTAGATGTAACTTTACTCTCCATAACAAGTCTTATTCCTTCTCTTTCTTCCTTTCTCTTCCCCATTTCCTCTTTCTGCTCTAGCGAAAAAATACCGGATAGCTCAATGGTTAGAGCATCTGCCTGGAAAGCAAAAAGATCGAAGATTCAATCCCCTCTCTGGAAATCTTTCTTTCCCATTCTTTACTTTACTTTATTAATGATGACTTTCCAGGTGACCGGCAAGCGTCTGCAGTTCAACCAATTGCGCGAGGACAACGCCGGCGGGTACAAGTGCATCGCGAAGACGAAAGCCGCAACATTGGAGGCGAAAACCGTGCTGAACATCGGCGGCGGTTCGCAGAAACGCAAGCGAAAGCATGCCGCTTCCCGTGGTCGCCGTCAACCGCGTGTGCCCCGGAATCGCCGGCTGAGAGATGAGAACGAGAAGCGCCGCGCCACCGAGCGCGGCCTTTTCGGGAACATCTTCGACCGCGATTAGGGGATTCTAAATGTTGATTCCAGTTTGGCGATTCAATTTCTCAATTACTATTCGTCGATTGCAGTTTAGTGGAACTAATTCGTTTTTGTTTTTTTTAGTTTTCCCATTGTTCAATCCAACCCTCGATAACCTTTTCTTGAAGCAAAAACTCTTGTGGCTGACTGAAAATGATTGAAATTTAAATGATTCAGGGTTACTGTAGGGTTACTGTAGATCTTTTAATGTCTTTTTAAAACTAAAACTTTCAAATTTCAAAGCCTTCACCCAGCCACGAGAGTACCGTAGCTTTTCCCACCAAATTTTATAAAATAAAGCTCCGAAAATGGCTTCGCCGTATCATTTGCATGTTACGAGGAAATCGCTAAAATCTTTGTCATTCTTAGATTTCTCTTAACATTTCATATTTCCCCTTCAAATCTCGTGTTCGTCGCCTCGGTGCCACTTTCGTTTTTTTTCCGCTTTTTCACTTTTTCCCATATCCATTTTTACGCTCAAAAACAGAGTTTTCACTTCATTAAAACCCGGAAATTTGCATGTTTTTTAATTTTTTGTTTTTTTTGAAGATCGCTTACCGTAAAAAGAAGTTTTTTGGAATTTTTAGATTTTTGAGTTATCTAGGAAAATATTGAGTTTCAATTTTAAGTGAGTTTAGCCTCAAATTTGGAACCTAATTTAAACATTTACAAATAGCTGAAAACTGAGATTTCCACCAGAAAAGGGATGTTTACGAGAGTTGAAAGACTACAAAGTACACCCTAAGGGATTGCTGTCGGTACGGTAGCAGCTTTTCGATTTACATTCAATTTGGGGTACTGTAGCTCATCAGTCTAGCCACTAAGCCACGATTTAGTGGCCTAGTGGACCAGAAAGGGTGTGCTTAGAAGATTTGCTTAGAAGAAAGCACAAAGAACACGAAAAAGTCAATTGCTTAGCGGGCAGTCTGAAAAGATCGCAAAGATTCCAAAAACTTTCGACTTTTCCCCTTAAAAATCCCCCTTCTGTGCCATACCATTTTGGAGCACTGCCCAATTTTAAAAAAAAAGTTTACATCAAAAATTTCTTTCCCCATTTTTTGCTTTTCTTTTTTCTTTTGCATAATTACCCCATTACCGTATTCGAAATATAAAAATCTCATAATAAAAATTTCCAAATTTCCATTTAAACCAAAATTTTTCAACCTTTTTTAAACCCCAAAACTGCCCATTTTTTTTTGATAAAAATCCGACTGCCATTCCTGTTTTTTTTTTTTTTTTTTCAGAAAATTTTCTCAAATTTTTGATTCATTTACCCAAATTCACTGAAATTCACTGAAAAATTGGGTAAATGAAACGAAAATTCTCAAAAAATTTCCCCTTTTTGGTGCTTTTTCGGCTAGATTTCTTAGTGTTTCATTTTTTTTAAAACCTTTGTTTTATTTGTTTCAACTTTTACAACGTCTCGGTCCCGCGTCCCCTTGCCCCAATTTTTTCGTAGATTTTTCCCCTTCGTTTCAAAAGTATATTCAGTGAATAAATGTTTATTAGTTTTATATGTGCTTTTTTTCGAGTTTTCTGTATGCAAAAATAATCGCATGGTAGAGTGTGGAAGTGTGTAGAGTGCAGAAGTTAGTGGTAGAGTGTGGAATTCAGTAGGAATTTACCGAATCTCAATCCACAGTCAAGACAAATATTTCTCGAGAAATCAACGATCTCTCATCTCAATATTATCGAGTTTTCCTTTTGGTCGAATCTCCTGAATTAATTAATTGAATTCGGGGAAATGTCAAGCACATCAATGAATTAAAGGGAAATCTAACGGCAAGATGGTCAGCATATTGAAACATGGAAATTTCTTCGAAGTATTAAAGTAAAGATTGAAAGCAAATCGAAATTGAGCAATTTCTTGAGTTTTTATCAAGCTTTGATAGGGCTTTGATAGACCAGCTCAAATTGGAATTGAATTCTATTGATTATCAAAGCATCTCCACGCAAGAATGCATTAAAATGCAACATTGCAAATTCTAGGGGAAAATGTTCAAACAAACAATCTTTTAGCTACGTTAGGTTTTAAAAAATTGGTTTTGAGAAAAGAGAAATGAAATTCTTTGAATGATTTCTTTATGTCGCATGGATTTTGAATGTCCTGAATTGAGTTTAAAATGAAAAGAAGAAATTGAGCATTTCAGTCGGTGGTGCGTACTTGGATCTGCATTCGGTGACGAGGGGCATTGGACAAGATGTGAGTTTCGGTTCAAATCAAATCAAATCTGACAAAATGGAATGCTCTTAGAGCAAATAAACCCGGCGAAGGGTAGTAGTTGTTGAAGTTGAAACGAAAGTGCTAATCTTAATTGAACACATTATTTTTGATGAGCTCAAAACGCAAAATAGGCCTGTTTCAAGCTGGCTGCCTATTTCTTCAGTTATAAAGCGGTTGATTGACCGAAAAGCGTTTGAACCGCACTTATTCGTGCACTTTGTGCTCGCAAATCTTGTAAACACATCCATTCTAGCGCACTCAATCCTTTCTAGGCTCATTTATATTGCCCAATCGCTCTGCCAACCCCGAGAACACCCGTCCAGTGGAATCGAGCCGACGACAAACAGATGTCCGTCAATGCGAAAGTCGATCGGGGTACGGTAACAAGTCGATTTTATGTAGCAAATGTGAATTGGTACTTTGCAATTAGATTTGATTCTTTGGATTTCATAGTGTGATCAACCTGAAAAGTGAAAGTTTGAGTACAATCGATGGATTGAATAGCTGCGCGGATAACTTGCACTAAACATTACAGATCAATTTCTAAAGACAACTTGTCTATCTAAAAATCGAAAGATTTTTAAACTTTTAAACTTTCAGGAATTCTGACGATTCCCTCGGTGTCTCGGAGTGACGCCGGTGTGTACACTTGCTCAGCACCGGCCGAGGATGGAAGTGGTGGCACGGCGGAGATCCAACTCAAAGTCACGAGTAAGTTTTTTTTGAAAAAATGAGTACAAGTTTCGGCTTTAAAGTCATGGAATTGACTTTTTGAAAATGATAAGAAAGGAAAAATCCTATCGAAAAATGCAAGTTTCAAATTTCTAGGTGTCACTTTTATGTAGGGGATTTTAGTTTCTGTGATTCTTAAAAGTTGATTAACTCTGGTGATTTTCTAAATATAAATGTATATGGTTACAATAATTTAATCGACTTTTAAACTTGAATGTCTAGGCCGGCATTTAACTGACACTGGGGAAATCCCATTGAAAAGTATAAGTTTCAAATTTCTAGCTGTCACTTTGATAGAGCTAAATTCAAACCACCCCTTCATGCTCCAGAAGTTTATTCCTTTTCAAAATTTGTAAACATGTTATGCGCTAAGCTGCGAATTCCTCAAAGAAGTGTTTGTTTCAAAGCTTCTTAAGCTTTGAAACATGTTGAAACAAACAGCTATGTTAATCCTACGTAAACATTTGAGGCATGATCCCGTCATTCAACGGCTCAAGTTGGATCGAATTGCCCCCACTTGGGGACTCACAGTTCGCAAATCTTCAACTCGACATCAATTTCAAGCCGAAAACTCACGATGGTTGGTTTTGTGTGGAAAATGGGTTTTAAGATTTTGAGTTTCAAAGCTCAGACACTACAATCTTCTGGTTCTAAAAACAAAAAAAAACTTTAAAGCGTTGTTGTCTTGATGATGAGCGTTGAAAGATAACAGAAATGTAAAAACTGGGCAAACTATGGTTTTACTAATAGATTTCCCATGTAGTCGTTCCAAAAAAGGTTTTGAGTCAGTAAAAACAATTTTCTAAGCCTTTTACGAGAGCACGATAAGCCCAGCGAATCGAGTTTCAAGTTAGGCGGCCACTTGTCCAGGAGCAAATTAATAATGAACTTCTGTTTTAGTAATGTCACCAAATTACATAGACAAGATTACGATCCTAAAAGGCACCCAAAGCTACCGTAATCTGCCCGTAAGTTTTCCTTTTGATCAACCGGACTTTCGTCATATTCAATGAGGGAATCACAAAGCTCAATCAATGATACCAAAATTAGGTTGATCAAATGAAAAATTGCGGGTGGATTACGGTAGTTTTGTTTTAAATGGGTCCCTTTTCAAAAACGAATTAGTTAAATACAATTTATTTTTGAATATCCAATTATCTTTAGGTCTCTTGATCTACACAGATAAAGTGAATCCATCACGACACGAG